TTACTCTGGTGTTTCTTTAACGTGTCAAAGTATATGTTGGAGAAGCATCCAACAGGGCAATATGATGGTTACACATTTATTAATAAATCAGCCACATGCATGCTTTTAAGATGCATGAAATGCAATTGGAATTCAGAATTAGGTTCTTTGATCTCTTCATTAGAATGACATAATTAGCATGAAAATTTTTCCTATGGGTACTTTATTTTGTTCTATAGGTTCAGTTGGTGGTGGAGGATGATGATTCGTTCATATGCTTCAGTCAGGGTTTTCAAAACCCTAGGTTTTTCTTAGTTGAGGAGGCGGCGCAGGTTTTAAATTCCACCTTTTTTATTAGTTTATTTATTTTTCTGTTTTAAATTTTTGCTTTTCGAATGTAGGAATCACCAAATTACGTACAAATGTGATTTGAGGATTTAAACTTTAATTTTCTATTTAAAGCAGGTATACGTTTACTAGATTTAGTTATACTTCCAATACAATCTTCTTTCTAATTCGATTCACTCAATCTATCTTTTACCATTTTATGCCCAGTGGCAGATCTACCTTTTTTATTTGCGGCATCTTCAAGTAAAAGGATTAGTTAAAAATGCCAAAAGAGAGCTTGTAGTTTCGTTGATAATAATTCGTTCTAAAGATTTAGGTGTGTAATTCGATTCTTAATTTAGATTAAACCATTTATCTTTCTTTGCTTTCTAGATATTTGCGGGAAAATTGTTTAATACAAACACATATGTACGAATTTTAATACAAATAGAAGAGCAGTTACGTGATTTCCATCTAATCCTTTCTTTTTTATGTTTTTAATTTGTTATTTTTATCCAACAGAATACAATCACGTCTCTTCGTGTTTTTTCATGTAAAATTTCTTCGTACCGTTCAACTATGTTATATTTACAAAGGGTAAGAAATAATATTGCAAAAAAGAAGAGCAAACAAAAAAAAATAAATTATGTTTTCGTTGTTTAATTTAATTTATATTTTAATTTTATCTTTTATTTTTTAGTCAATCTAATTTTTTAAATTGTTTTTTATGATAATATTTTAGAAAAGAAACAAATTGAAATAGAATGAAACAGTAGAACATAATCTTCTATGTTTTTTAATTATTTTCTCTCCCATAATATTTTCTCTCTATCATCAATTTCACACATACTCCACCAAGAACTAGCAGAGAAGAGCCTAAAAGTATATTACAATATTTTCTCTATTTTAGGTAATAATTTTTTATGATTTTTGTCAATATCAGTCCTAAGGCCTAAGATTAAACATTCACAAATAAAAAATTTCATTAAAAAAAATACACAGTACTAAGGGTTGATATTAACAAAATCTATTTTTTATTAATAGTTAGAAATATTATTACTAAAACATATAATAGGCAAATATGACCTTTTAACTATTGATAAATCAATTGTAAATTATTGTAAAATTATTTTTAAAATATAAAATTTGAAAAAACTATTTAAATGGTGTTGAATTTTTTCTTAATTATTAGCAGACATAAAGTTGTTCTTAAAACATTGAATATACAACATTTTTTAACTACTAACTTTTTGTCAATAATTTATAAAATTAATCTTAAATTATATATTTAAATTTATTAACTATTTTGTGATTATTATTATATATTTTACTTAAAATTTTAACTTGTTTATTGACATATAAATTTAAATAGACTAATAGGTCAAACCTTAAAAAAATGGGCAAAATAAATAAACAAATTAAGTTTAGACCTTAACTTTAAAAATTGTACTAGATTTAAACCTTACAAAACCTAAACTGGTAGAGTTTATTTCTATTCTATATATCTATATCCCAGTTGTCAGGATATTAGAGATGCCGATTTATTTTAAATTAATGAATCAATTAATTGCAAGGTCTTACGTACGATAAATTTTCGCGTATTTAAATTGAAACGATAAGGGAATGACAGTAAATGATATCTATTACAGATATTTATGTCGTGAAGTATACTATGCAAGTTTCTTAAAGTTAAAGCAGTAAAGTAAATTCTTAACAAACTTAGTTGGATTAGACCAAATGGACCATCCTAATTATCAATATATGTTCGATTTGGGTGTCACTTGCATGGAATATTCCATTGCTTGTTAGAGATATGCTACAGACCTAAACTATCCAGTACCATTTTAAGTTTTAATTCTAAAATGAATCTTGATTTATTTGACAGCAAAAAAAAAAATCTAAGTCTTATTCTTTCGTACGTTTATGTTTGTTTGTGGGGAAATGCAGATTAGCACAATGCTCAAAGATTTAAAGGAAAACTCATGCCTTCTTCGTATATGTGGATTTGAAATTCTTCTAATAATCTAAAATTTTGTTTGGCAAATATATCCATATGCCTAATAATAGTTAATTGAGAAGCCACAATTAATAAAAAAAAAATCACTTGCAGCTTGGACCTTTGTAATAATCTTTTGAACTAGGCCTTAGCTAATTTTCCTAACATGCTAGTAGCATCTTCCCTAATACTATTAAAGTTGTCATTTTCTTCTCAATATTTTTTCTCTCTCTCACTCAAAAGAAGTGTGTACAAGAAGAAATGAGAGAAATAACATGCATCTTAATATTAAGTAGGGTGCAAGAGTAGATTGTATAATTTTGAATTGTGAATTTTTTTTTCTCTTAAAATATAACATATGTGTACAATATCCCATATATAACTTAGAACTGATGATCAGTGTTGTGTTCATGATGGAGGGCAGCTAGCTAGCTGTGTGACTTGAGAAGTAGGAAAGGAATATAGAGCGTGACAGTGAGAGAGAATCTGTCAATAAAGAAAAGATGGATGCTCTAAAGAAAATAACAAAAATGAAAAGGAAGGTCTAAAGCAACTTGCATTTGGTGCAGATAAATATTATGAAAAGATATTATTAATTTCTTTGGATATTCAAATCCTATTTGCATATTTCTTTATGGGTGGGAAAGGAGCAAAGCTTTTACGGGTACAGTTTATCAGGTAAATATATATATATATTCTGATGAAGGATTTGGATCTTGCAAAAGAGATATAGGCCCATATATAATTGTAAGGTTCTTATTCCTCAATCATTTTAAAGTTTCTGCAGGGTCACGATAAAACTAGAGAAAAAAGTGAAATTCTTATTATCATCACGCTACATGCTAGTTCATTGCCTATACAAAGGAATCAATCTTTCATTTCCACCAGTCCCTCTCCCCACAACTCACGACCGTTCAAAAAGCGATACTGCGCAGGATAAAATGATGCAGCCATGATGAACATATACAGAAATTCACTGGTTCCATAGCTTAATTATATTATATTACATCGTGCATGCTGAGTCCTTGACCAACTTTCTTCCTCTTTCCATATTGTGTAGTACATAATTTTATTTTAGAATATGATCGACTCCATAGAAGGATCAATATCATAGTAATTTTTTATTTTTTTTTTGCTTTTCATTTTTTATTATTAACTTATAAGTCACGTCCAAATCAAACAAGGGATTACAAAAAACATTCAGTGTTAATTATTTGGACTTTTTTTTTCATATTCTAAGTTTTAAAGTAAAACATTACTTAAAGAAAAAGAAATAAGAATATTGTATCAGTCTAATCAACCACTTTAGTATTTTATATATATATATTTAGAATTTTAATCCTTTTATATGTCTGGGTTTAAATGAAATCAAACATGTGTGCCACCATTATTTTTTACTCGAGAACAGATATCCTCTTTCTTAAAAGATAACAAAGTTATATATATTAACTCTATTGTTAATTGGTTAGCTATGTTTTTGGTGGATGCGTTAACACAGAAATTTTCACTCACTCTCATCTCATGTGGATGAAAATGCCCTCATTCGTCCATGAAAGTACCAGATGAAATAGTCACGATCAGTGTGAAGAGTAACTTCTCCAACCTACTCGGAAAAACAAGAAAGCTCAAGTGGAAGTGAGAAGTTCAAAATCGTCTTTATCCAAAGACGCATACACACATGTAGCTGACACACTCTCGTAATGTGCTTTCCTCTTAAGTGAATAAATAAAATTTCATTTACTTTTGATTTAGTTTAAAGTGTATCATAATATCAATTTAATGCTGATAAAAAAAATCCCATTTTGCTAAATTTGAAAAAAAAACATTTTTATTCATTTTAAAGGAATTTAAATTATTTATAGTTCACATGACACTGCTAGCTAGAATTAATTCATGAAACCTATAAAAGAAACATTAAAATGGATGGATCGTTCTGACTAAAGAAAAGCCAATATTTATTTTATTATTAACATCAATCCTTACGATTAATTTTAAGTATTTAAAATTAGTATAAATTTCATTAAAAAGTATTTATTAAATTAAAAATAAAATAAATATTTCTATTTCTAATAATTTTTTTTTTAATAATTTATCAACCTTAAAGGTTACTATTAATATATTCTTTTACTTTTTAACGTCGCTTTACAAGTTTTGTTATACTTAATAATAAAATATCAATCGTTAATCATTAACTGTTGTCCATGACTGTTGACAATTCTTACTTTTCTCATTACACGGTTCAACGTTCTAACAAGTAGTGAATGATTAATTTTATCAAGCTTAATTGAAGTTGAAAAACTATTAAAAAAATCTAGTTACTGAAGGTTTAATTAAACATAATATTTTATTCCATTATAGTAATAATAAATTTTGACGGTGAAAAAGGAAAATAAAGTATCAATATATTGTAACTACATGTATATGATATTTGTTATAAATTAGACAAGAACGTGCATAATATGTCTTAAATCTGACGAAAGAAAGCAAAATTGAACAAAGTGCATAAACATAAAAGTACTTCATTCCATTTATATATTTACGAAGTACACCAAATTTAGACTCTTAGATGGAACACACCTTAAATTTCCAACATAATACTCAACCCAACCAAAACATGAAACCAACTTAACTACTAGTCACCCATAACATTAACTTTTGCAAAACTTTAAAACTATAAGATAAGAACACCATGGTTCCTTCAGTCTTCATAAATGCAACCAGCATTCCTCCTAACAGCCATGGAGACCAGAGAGGATTTCATCTCCAGAGAGAGTTTCAAGCACTCAGAGAAGTCCACTCCAGAATCATCACAAGGCACCCAGTTGAAGCTTTGAAGGAACATAGCAAGCCAAATCTCAACAGTGGCTAAGCCCATAGCTTTTCCAGGACACACCCTTCTTCCAGAACCAAAAGGTGCCAACCTAAGATCTGACCCCATAATTGGCACATCCTCTAGTAGAAAACGCTCTGGCTTGAACTGTTCTGGATCAGACCACACTTTTTGGTCATGTGTAATAGCCCACATATTCACCATAGCAGTAGTGCCAGCTGGAATAAAGTGATGACCAATGTTTGTGTCATGGATTGCAAGCCTGGCCCAAGAAAGTAGAGGACCCGGTGGATGCATCCTCAAAGTTTCCTTCACTATGGCGCGTAGGTAAGGAAGGTTGGGAAGGTCAAGATCAGTCACACTGCGGCCATAGCCAACAACTGAGTCAATTTCATATTGTGCCTTGGCTTGAATTTCTGGGTGCATAACCATCCTAGCAAGAATCCACTCTAGAAGAATTGCCACGGTATCGGTCCCTCTAAAGATCATTTCCTGAAAATAATTTGAAAATAGACACATGTCAATAAAATTAAGGTCTTTAATAAAGTAGATTCAAACAAGCAGAAAAAGAGTGTGACTGTTGGTATATATCCTCGGGGAAATATATTCCAGAAAACACTGGAAGAAAATTGCAAAAATAATGTTACGCGACAGAAAGGGAGCTTACCTGAGTGGGAGAGTTGTGTGTGTATATATAAATTAACCAAAAAACTTGTTCTACATATAATTAGAGAAGTTCAGATTAAGTAAGACTAAAGGAAAAATAAATATTTTTCACTAATATTTTAATTAAAAATTGAATCTGAAGTGTTGGTCCTTCTATATATACATTTTCTATGTATGTCATTTGCAAACGGTTTTTTCATGATAAAACAAAAATTTATGTATACTTTTTAATAAAAAAATGTTATTATTTATTTCTTATTTTAAACACATTTTAAGAAAATATATTTGTAAAAAACATAAGAACTAATTAAAAGCAAGAAGAGACCATGAGATAATTATGTGAACAATAATGTAGCAACCACAAATGTAACTGTAATTAACCTGGAACAAAAAGAACATGAGATTAGATATGAGAAAAAGAAGAAGAAAGAAAAAAACTCACCCACAAAACAGCAACCATATCAGAGTGTTGAAGCATGTTCTCCTTCTCCAAATCCAGCAGCACATCAACAAAATCACCTGAACTCTCATTCAGGGCCTTACCTTCACCTTCAACAGCCCTTTTCACCCTATGCTCCAATATGATTTTCCCAACAAAAACATTCACTCTAGCCACCAGATACCTACACCTCCTCCTCACACCTTGCAAATCCAACCAACCCAAGACAGTAAAGTGGTCACTCCAGTTAAAACTTCCAAGCAAATCATACCCTTCCCCCACCAACTCCTCAAGCTCACACCCCTCACCACCCTCACCAAACTCATAACTCCTCCCAAAGACGCTCATCATCACATTATTCAACGACCCAAAATGCAACACTTTTCTCACCTCCACCTCACTGTCCCTTTCCATCAAGCCTATGATCTCCCTCACCATCTGACTCCCAACATGGGCCCGAAACTCTCCAGAGGCAGCAATCCTCCGAGGAGAGAACATGTGAGTGGCAGAAATCCTCCTAAGATTCCTCCAGTACTCACCGTAAGGCGCAAACCCCATGGCTCGGTGAAAGAGAAGCTCATAAGCGGATTCCTTAACAGGTCGATCCGCAAAAGCTGAACTGTTCAAAATCTCTTTGGCTGTGTCTGGCTCACTGGAAATAACAAAACGAGTGAACCCCACAGAGAATGCCATCAAAGGCTTGGCCATGAAGGTGTCAGCGAGCTTTGCAAGGACCCTGTGAGTTAGAGTCCCTGTAAAAGCTGAAACCAGACCAAGCACTGGGAAACCAGAAGGTCCGGGAATCACAGCTTTGTTGTTGAGAGTTGATTCCAGTCTAAACTTGGACAAAGCCCAAGCAAGACCACCAGGAACCAGCCAGTAACCAAACACGGCTACTAGGAGCAGAAAACCGCAAAAGACATTGAAGGTGAGTGTGGTTGAGCAGGCCAATAGCGGCAAGAACAAGGAGCAGAGTTCCAATGACATTTTGTGAAACGGAAACAAGAGAGAAGGATTTTAGAAGGAGAATGCAACTGTGGTGGAAGAATAAGGACCTAAGTGAACCCTTATATAGATATAGAGACTGTTCTATTGACACACAGAGACACGAGTTTTAAGCAGTTCTAGAGCATAGTAACTTGATGCTGAAACTGGCTTTTCAGTTTCTTTTCTTTAATATACTTACCTTTTAAATTTTTCATGTTTACATTTTTTTTAAATTTCATATTAATTAACTGTCACATGAATTTTTTAATATTTTATTTTTAAAAAATTATTTAATATTTTTTTTTAACTTTTAATTTATTTTATGTATATATTTTAAAATTTTTCTTGTTTTCAATCTTTCAAGTTTATGTCACTGATTTGTAATTTTTATTATCTTTTAAACTTTACCTGTAATATTCAAAATTATCTTTTACTTTTTAATGCTATAAAAAAAAATTAAACTGTTCTGTAGGAACACGGTAAAAACGGATTTTATAGTTCTAGTCTTTAGAGCATAGTAACTTGATGCCCTGACTTTTCGCTAACCTATTTACTTTAAAGATCAGTTTGAGAAACGCATTTTTCACCGACTTTTTTTAATTTTTTATTTACTTTACTTTTTTTAACTTTTCATTTATTTTATGTATATATATTTTAAAATATTCACGTTTTTAATCTTTCAAGTTTTTTTTTAACTTTTACGTGGAATATTTAATATTCTCTTTTATTTTTTATTGCTATAAAAAATTTATAGGTTAAAAAAAGTAATAAATTAAAATTTATAACTTATATTGTAACACAAAATCAGTCTAAATAGTTAGTGAGACTATATTATGTAAAACTAAATGCTTATAATTTTTTGAATTCCAGTCTTTAAAAAACCTAATGAATATATACTTTAAATATATTGTAATAAATATTTAATATACAATATATAATTAAATTTGACAACTTTTAAATAAGGTATATAAAATTTAAAAGTGAAAATACTTTTATTTAAATTAAAGTATTACATAAATGATTAAGTTTCAAAAATTTATTTATAATTTTTTTCTGACTTAGAAGTTTAGTTGAGGACTTTTTTTAATAAAATTTATAAATGATTTAACATTTTTTAGATATTTAATACATTTATGCTTTTAAATTTAATAAATAGTTTCAGAATATTATAATAAAAATATTTTATTATTAATTATCGAGCATTAAAATAGAAAAGTAAGCAAAATAGTAATCACGTGTAAGGTCATGCAATTTCACTATTCAGTGTTTTGAAAGAATAGAAGTTTGCTCAGCGATTGCAGCAGAAAATCTGACAAAAATTGCAAAAATTAGGGGTCATTGAAGTTTTGGGTTTCATGCAACGATGCAATAACGGCTTTTAGCTTCATGTGATAATTGCACATTATGCAGCAGATAAGAGGCACAATTTATGGGTTAGTTTGAATTGAATTACTCAAGAAATTATATGTAAATTTTTTATTAAAAATGATATTAAACTGTATAAAAAATTACAAAAAAAATATTTGTTCTATTTTTATAAAAAAATTATAGGATAAAATTTATATATTATTTTATTATTTATGAATTAAAATTATATTTGTATCTTAATCAAAATATATATTTAATATTATTGTAAATTATAAAAGTGAAAATCTAATCTTAATTAAAAAATTACACAAAAGATATTTATAATACAACAACTAAATTTTTTCAATTCTGATAAAAATTTTAATCTAATTGATTAGTATCTAGTGGCCTATTTTCATACATAAGTAGAATAAGTATATTTTCAAAGATAATTGAAAAGAAATACAAAAATATCATTTACCACATTTAGCAAATTTTTTTAAATTGTTTTAAGCACATTTTAAAATATGTGCATTAAAAAAAATTAAAAAACTAGTAATATTAACTCCTGATATAAGTTTAGTCTATACATTAAAAAAAACATATTTTGAAATGAAAATTATATTAAATAATCTATTGATAATTAGATGGTAATAATATATCATATAATATTATTATACAAATCATGTAAAAAAAAGTGTCAATGTAAAAAGAAATACCGAATAAAAATTGAGTTAAAACTTTCAAACTGCTCACTAGATATATAAATTAATTATTATACGTATTTTGAATTGATATGTCTAATAAGAATCTATTTTAAAAAATATTGATTAACTATTTTGTAATTTTAAAAAGTGTCAAATATAAAGAATTTGATTTTTTTAAAGTTATATTTTAAAATATTTTTAAAAACAATATTTAAAAATAAAAAAATAAAATTAATGTTAACAAACAAATTTTATTTTATTTTAAAATTTTGATTTTTAAAAATAAAAACAAACAAATTCTAGTATTGTAAAATAGTTTTAGAAACTAAATTTCGACTTTCGAGGCACAAGTTAATCTTCGGAAATGGTCTATGAATTTGGAAATAAATGCTTAAAAGTTGTCATTGTTTTTCATACAGACAAAACTTTAGGAGAATTGATAATGTTTCTCAAAGATTTCTCGACAAAAAAAAAATGCCAACAACAAACCTCAGTGCAAAGAAAATGATGTTTTTCTGTGAGAAGGAAGATGACGAATTGTAAGGGAAAAAAAAAAGTGTTTGGGTTAATTTTTTTTAATAATTAGTAAAAAAAGTCCTATTTTAGACTTTTTATTTTGCCATCATAACTATTCAAAGCTATATCATGCCCATGTGCGGGCTTTCAGAGAATTTGGGCTTTCATTATTGCCTGAGGCCTAGTGCCTTGGGCCATTTGAAACGGCCCAAAATTTTTCGGAGTATTAAATATTCAGTTGACAAAAAAAAATAATATGGAAACAAAAAACTATGACTAAATACCCCGTATTAAATAAATGAATAGTTAACGACAAATTTTTTTTTTTGATTTTTTTTACAAAAATATTATAATTATAAAAAAAAGTTTATATTATAATTGAAGCGGGAAATCGAAAGAAAGAAAAAACAATACTGTTGGGCCTATAGGATGCTGTAAAAATCTAGTTTGTAAGTGAAATTAAGGGAAAGAGCCACCACCAAAAATGTCATGTGTATTAATGCCTTTAATGGGGCATTATCATTTTGCATTACCAAATACATATAGTTTCATATCAATACTATGTCAAAACAATATATAACAATTAATATACTTTGCTACAAAGTATGTGGTCTACTTCTTAATTGTTATTCTATTGAGTCAAATGTTGAAGTATTTTTTACAGATACATTATTATTATTATTATTATTCCACCTTCAACTTCACACTTCAATCATGCATGGTTCTTTGAATTTATTGTTACTGGGCTCACTAAAAAAAGTACATAAAATTTGATCAAAGTATGATTGTTGTATTATATATACTTAGGTGTTTTGTTTTTGTTTTTTTTGTTATCGGTGTCTTGTTTTTTTGGTTATCAATGTCATGACACGTGCCTTGAATAAACAAAAGGAAAGGATGCATTGCCTCTCTGGAGTGTGGGACCAAATTCACGGACTGAACTAAGCTGCAAGTAGGATATAGTATATACCACTCACCTGGTTCGCATAGATTCAGAATGACGTGGCTGCTGACGTCTTTTCATTGCTATAACTTTTTTAAAGGCTGAATTTTACACAACAACGTGTTCATGACCCAAAAACAGCACCAAATGTAGGGAATAAAACAAAAATCCCTAGGTATGCACGTCACCAGTTAGATCACCAAAGACTAATACAATAATATATACAAGACAAAAACATAAATATAACCCCTTTTTATCGTATTTTTTGGGCACATACTTATTTCAAGGCCGTTTAATTGACCATTAAACCTCATTTAAATAACTTTCAGATTGCAACTTCTTTAACTACAGGTAATTTTCTACAATATACTCTAATTTTAAGTTATATATATGTTTTTATTTATTTATTTTCCAAACAAAATTGCTTTTTATAAAAAAATTACTGAGACATGGACTTGGAAAGATTGCACCTTCTTTTTCTTGTTGAGAAAATTCCACGACAATTGAACTTGAAACCCAAGGCAAAGTCATACCTCCCTTTGGATTGGCTACTGGGTCTTGTTCGTTGTGGTTTCTTATTCCACCTAAGAGTTTCTAAGAAATCAAGTATTTTTAACACTTTTATGTTTTTGTTGATAACTAAAATTGCACGCTACGTTCACACAAATTTTATGCTCTTTTTCACTAAATAATTCGAGTCTATTTGTATTTATATTTATATTCAACGATATATATATATATATATATATATATATATATATATGGTCAATAAAAGTTGCTACTAATTTTTCCAATGAATTAATGGTCATTTTCTTGATGGAATAATACGCTGAATTGTATTAGTTTCATGCCTAAACCTCATTTGTATTACCCTACTAATTCAGTTTTATTTTTCTTTTTTCTCTCGACCACGACGGTAAGCGTCATTTCCTATGTACACCATGTGAGAGAAAAAGTATGTTCATAAATTATTTTCCAAAGATAATTTATACAAATGAATGTTAAATAGAATCTACGTTCTAGTAAGATTATTTTGTTTTTTCTTATGGACATAACCCACCCGATTTAACGTAATCGACGAATTGGTATTGGCGTGTGGGTACACTATTTAGAGAGTGGGAGTGGAAGAGGCTCTCGTTGAGAGGTTCAGAATGAACGGCTTAAGAAGTGAAAGAGCACCTCTCTTGGAGGCTGAACGCAACGTAAGTCAATTTCTCACACCAAAGTTGTTTTCTTTTATCTCTATGGAATCTTCTTCTTCTCTTACTTCATCTTGGGTGTCACTCATGACTCATTGGTGCTTGCCTTCAGCTTCAACAATTTGTGACTTTTTTTCGTCAATTACTTGTTTTTACTATTTATGGCTAGTGGGGTTGTGTTATAATTGAAAAGAAGACATGCTCTTTCGGTGTAATACTGGATTATTCCACTGCGCTTTAGATAATAATATTAATAATTATCCTGTTGCACTGTTTGAAACCTTTTTTTAAAATCGTTTAATGGGTATCTAACAAGCTTCTATGTGTGTATTTCAGTTTCCTGTTCATTACTAAAAGGTTGTGTTTCCGGTACTATGTTCAGTTGAAAACATAGTTGGAAATCTTTACTCTTTTGTCATCTTTCGGGTTTTTTAATTTATAAGGGAGGTCATGGTTTTTAACGGTTTCAAACTGGTTTAAAAATATTCATGGTTTATTGTTTAATTATGTTCCCAATTCTTGGCACGGTTATGCATATAGTACTTCAAAAGTGCTAAAGGATTGTGGGCATATATTTCTGCAAGTGCATGTATTGTTGTACATTACAACTCCATTGATATTTTTAGTCTATATAGGGAAGAGAAAAGAGGGATGGTGACTCGGCAGGTCAAGTTTCAGACCTTGAACATGGTGATGCTGTGCCGGTAATCATTGTCCATACATCATTTAATCTCTCTATAACATATAACATCATATTAGTATGTGAAATTTCTAACTTTACGCATGAAAATTGCAGGCGGAAAATGTGGGATTCTGTCGAGTGTTTTCACTTGTAAGTGGTCAATGAATGTTTCTTTGGATGACTTGTTGCCATATTTTTGTTGTCATTAATTTTTTTTAAAAATTAATTACAGGCTAAGCCTGAGGCTGGAAAGTTGGTGATTGGTACGGTGGCTCTGTTGATTGCAGCCACATCGAGTATCTTAGTTGTATGCATCTTTTGCTATCTTAGTTGTATGCTGACATAACATATACCCTGTAAAAGTTATGTCAGCATGTATCTTTATATTATTTGCTGCCGATATGGTTGGATATGGAGTTAAAGGTGCTTTCTAATGAACATGGAAATGTTCTTGCTGTAGCAAAAATTTGGTGGGAAGATAATTGACATTGTCTCAAGGAATATTCAAACTCCGGAGGAGAAAGATGAGGCTTTGAATGCTGTCAAAAGCACCATACTAGAAATCTTTTTGATCGTTGTTATCGGGTATGAGCCTTGCTTTTGTTCTTTCCAATGAATTGTAGAGATATAGTTTTATCTGGATGTAGTTGTGAACCTAAGACTTTTGATAGCATGAATTTTCTAGGATCCCAAGTGAGATTCACTGAGTTTTCTTGATTTTACAGTTCAGTTTGCACAGCACTTCGATCTTGGCTTTTTTATTCTGCCAGTGAAAGAGTCGTTGCACGGCTGAGAAAGAATTTGTTCAGTCACCTCGTAAACCAGGTTAAACAATATTGTCATAATGACTCTTTCTTGCATTGTTCCTCTGTATTTGTGTTATTTTCAGTCACTTGGAGAGCAGACATTTCCTGCTTGCCACTAATAATTACCCTTGGCTCACGATAAAGCTTGCTTATTATGGATGATGAGTTTTCAGGAGATAGCCTTCTTTGATGTTACTCGAACTGGGGAACTTTTAAGTAGGCTATCTGAGGATACACAAATCATAAAGAATGCTGCAACTACCAATCTTTCTGAGGCCCTGAGAAACTTTTCAACTGCATTCATTGGTCTGAGCTTCATGTTTGCAACATCATGGCAGTTAACATGTAAGTAATTCAACATTGAATAGTTGTTTCATAAGATACACATACACACACATGCACACATATTTTGTGTTTATCCTAACCAATGTTTTGGAAAACTAAACTTGTCATAAAACCAGTAGAAGTATGGCTCACAGTTCTTTGGTTCATTCAATCATAGTTGAATCAATGATAATGAGATAAATATTTTAATACTATATAATATATTAAGTAATAAATTAAAACAATCATAAGCAATCAGGCTAGATAAAAAAATCAAATTTGCATAAAAGGACCAAATTATAAATCCTGCATGATAAAAAAATAATTAAAGAACTAGTATAGCAATTCATACATGAGCAGAAGACCTTACACATGGGCTGTTATTTGTCTCAAAATATTTTTGGTTGAATAAAAAAATATAAAAAAAGCAAGTGAACAAAAGAATTTGTTCAAACCAGTTTTCACTACTGGTTAGAAACTTAGAATGGTTGTCTAATTGTCTGATTTTTTTTAGTTGTCTTAATCGACTGCTTCACTGGTTTTCTGGTGGCTGACCAGGTTTCTTTATCCATTATCCTAACCTATTGCTCTCTCCAACTTTTATAGTGTTGGCTTTGGCTGTTGTACCTGTTCTTTCTGTCGCTGTTCGCAAATTTGGCCGTTACCTGCGTGAACTTTCTCACAAAACTCAGGCTGCAGCTGCAGTAGCTTCTTCAATTGCTGAGGCATGTCTTTTTTTATCAAACATATATCATGGAAGATAATAGTGAAACTGATATTAATTTTGTCTGTGCTGCTTAGGAATCCTTTGGTGCAATAAGAACAGTAAGATCTTTTGCCCAAGAAGATTATGAAATAACACGCTACTCAGAGAAAGTTGAAGAAACACTTAATCTTGGTCTTAAACAAGCTGTGAGTTAGCCAGTTGTATTTTGATCTGAGCTCGTGAGTAGTTTTATTTGTTTACCTTTACAACATTTAATCTTATTTTCTTGGTGATACAGAAAATTGTTGGACTATTTTCTGGAGGCCTTAATGCTGCATCTACACTTTCAGTGATTGTAGTTGTTATATATGGAGCTAATTTGACCATCAAGGGTTCCATGTCCTCGGGCGATCTGACATCTTTCATTCTTTATAGTCTCTCAGGTAAGTTCATCTTCTATTACTCCATTTCACATATGAATGAAATCTGCAAAACATTTACAATTGAAACTATGTATGATCCATGAATTGTATACAGTAGTTATGTATATTGACTCAACTATTTTGCCTTGTAGTGGGGTCTTCTATATCTGGTCTGTCAGGATTGTATACAGTAGTTATGAAAGCTGCAGGTGCCAGCAGAAGGGTATTTCAACTTTTGGATCGTACCTCATCCATGCTTAAACCAGGAGATAAATGTCCACTGGGGTCAGTTTCATATATTTCCTAAAATTTAGCTCTCTAAGAAATGCTAGTAACACAAGGCAACACACTTTGTACAATTGGGTGAAATGTATGTGGTGTACCCACATCATTTAGTGGATCATTCATGAATTTCACTTAATAGTAAAGAGTGTGTTGCTTTATACTATTTATGGAGAGTTTGCCTCTCATTTTATCTATTTATGCATTTTACTATCCTGGAACATGCTTAGTCTAGGATGTGCTGATGAAGGGCCCACCTTTTGGATTCTTGTGCAAAAAATAACTTTACAGTGCTCTAATTATTGAAATCCTGTATTACCAATGAAAAAATGATTAACTCATTATAAAGCTTTGAAATATTTAGACACTTGTAGACAGCCCCCTGTACCTCAATGTTACCGAGAAGTGTAACTTCATAATAGAGAGAATGAATGTCCCACACAGGGTAAGAATACAAGGGTCATACATACACATGTTATTCACCTTCTCCACTATATTATTTCAGAATCATTTTATAAATTAAATATATCCTTTTCAGCTTTAATTTTTTTCTATGTAAAATTGTTGATCTCTTAAAATGAGAAGTGATGCTAAATGTCTATTATTGTAGTGACCAAGATGGGGAAGTAGAACTAGATGATGTATGGTTTGCCTATCCATCACGCCCTAGTCATCCAGTGCTCAAGGTATCAATTTCCTTCTAATTCCGTGTCCTGGCTATACAAGTTCAATGGGAAATTATTAAAACAAATGATACTTCATTGTTCATCTTTAGGGCATTACATTGAAACTGCAGCCAGGCTCAAAGGTCGCTCTTGTTGGTCCAAGCGGTGGTGGAAAGGTATACTAGATATCTTTTCTTATTAGCATCTTTTCTTTCTTTTCTCTTTCTTGTGTTTATCTGTGCAATTCATCATTCCCCAAGGTTCTTATTTGACATGCTTGGGTTGAAGAAGCATAGAAAGGTAGAGAGCATGGTGGAGTGCAAGGGAAAGGCATCATGCACATTCACTTGTTTCTAATTTTGTGCAGAGTACAATTGCAAACTTAATTGAAAGATTTTATGACCCAACCAAAGGAAAGATTCTGCTGAATGGGGTTCCTCTGGTAGAAATATCACACAAGCACTTACACAGAAAGGTATATTGATCATAATTATTTTTTAATTTTCCAGTGTTTAAATTTATCTATTTTTGGTAGAATTAGATGTTTAAATTTAATTACTAGAAATTTTTCTGTTATTACTATTTACTGTCAAACACAGTGGGCATGGATTACTGAGTTAGCACTGCAGCAGCTGTTCCACTATAGGACACAACAGTTATAACATTTGAGCATATAAATATCACTTCATTTCAGTACATATTAACTTTGGATAAGGCAATTTTACGCTGCTAACAATGATTTACCCAAGTTAGTGTTGTTGTAGTGTCATGTATTTACATTTTAGGAAACTATGTATGTACTACTGTAAATTTTGTTTCTACGGGATAGAATCATTATATATCAAGAAGTCAAGGTGAAAAGCTATTTATTAGTTCATACCTTGTGCCTGCATGATGCAGGAGAATATAAAATTTGGTGTTTAGAAATTAGTTTGGTGAAGTTCAGGTTTAATAAAAATGTAAATTTATTTTTTTTATTTTGATAACTTAAATTAAATGCAGCTTGCTTGTATATTTGTAGATTAGTATAGTGAGTCAGGAGCCTACACTCTTCAACTGTTCCATAGAGGAGAACATAGCTTATGGATTTGATGGCAACGTGAATGCCATTGACATAGAAAATGCAGCGGTAATATTTACATTGTTCATTCTTCAATGAGGGATCTCTCCCAACGCTTCTTTGTTCATTATTTGTATGGATTTTAATGCAGAAAATGGCCAATGCACATGAATTTATATCAAAATTCCCAGAAAAATACCAAACCTTTGTTGGAGAACGTGGTGTAAGGCTTTCAGGAGGGCAGAAACAGAGAATAGCTATTGCTAGAGCCCTGCTTATGGACCCTAAGATTCTTCTACTAGATGAAGCCACCAGTGCCCTAGATGCTGAAAGCGAATACCTAGTACAGGTGAGTTAACACATTGTTCCAGATGGGTTTCTTTTTCTAGAGTTTCATGAACACACATACTTCATCTTCTTGTCGTTATATTTTTCACAATAAGCTAATGGTGATGGATATGATGCAGGATGCCATGGAATCTCTCATGAAAGGAAGAACAGTTCTAGTCATTGCTCATAGATTATCAACTGTTAAAACTGCTGATACTGTTGCAGTTATTTCGGATGGCCTAGTAGTCGAGAAAGGCACGCATGAAGAGCTTCTAAGCAAGAATGGTGTCTATACTGCATTAGTCAAAAGACAACTACAAACGACAACAAAAGCCGAAATCTAGACTCTGTCTAACAAGTTTTGAATAACACAAACCTACTATGTTGCTTGTTAAAACACTCTAGGGTGCCCACAAGGGGAGGGGGAACAAGATAGTTTGAGGCACAAGTTCCTTGGAAAATCCACATTATCGCAGTTGCAAGTTACAGCATTAAACTTTTAGCAACAAATTATGGATAGTGGTCCTTAACTGACCTCTGGTCTAAAATCTAATTCTCGCTTCTTGGATTAAGTATTCTGTTTTGCTGCTCTTGAATTGCCAGGGTCCCAAGATTTTAAAATGAATGGGGATTCGTGCAATTCGTTTGATCCCAAATTTTGTGAAAATTTGCAGGTGTTGTGATCTATACCGTAAGTATAGTTGCTAGAGTATTATCGACATGTTTTATCTGCCAAGTACAAACAATTTAGTGCCGATCTCTTCCCCCACTTCATCACGAAAATATGGAATGCTTTTTTTTTTTTAATTTAGTTTTGATTCGGTATGTTATCTATTTATTATTCACCACATCGAATATTTACTATTTTTCTTCTATTGTTAAAAGTCGATATTCACTAGAAGACAACTCAAATGTCATGATTTACCTGTACAAAGTTGTCTCTAGTGATGAAAGAAGACAACTCAAATACTAGAGGTCAAATGAAGTTGCTTGATTTGGATGTGAATCGCAAAAAAATTAGAAGAATAATTTAAAATCTTCTCTGTTTTCGCGCCTATAAATTCTCTTAATTGCAAAGCTCTTGCTAGAATACCAAGTTGGGGATGCACAGCTTTTGCTGTGGCAACTATAACACTCGTGTAGCTGTAGCTTGGGTGCAAGTCCTTAAAATTGATCATGATGATATTGGCAGGGACAGGTAGAGTTGGCTAAATTTATAGCACACCTGACAACTTTATTTATTGCTGGAAAATCTTCTTCTACCTTGTGATTTGTGGGTGTAGTATGTATCTCCTCTCCGATTAAAAATTCGAATTAAATGCACAAGAATCTTGATTCGTCTTACCTCTATTTGCATCATTTTTTTTATTGCGTGGTTTTCTCCTTCGACTCGAGAGTAACTTGTTAAACATAGTGAAGTATATGTAATGGTGCAACTTTTTAAAGTTGCTGTAACATTTTTGTTATAATAATTTTTATATACGTTTCATAAGTTATCAACTTTGAGATGAATAGTTTTCACATGAGTTGTTATTATTATTTTGCTTGCCTGTGTTCAAGAATCATACGCTATGGATCCTTATTTTTTTTCTACAAATACTTGCTTACTTTAATAATTGATAAAAAAAAATTTAAGATCTGTACTCCAAATGACTTTTAATGGCAAATAAAGATAATAAAATTATTTATTCTTTTATGTTTTTTATATAAGTTATCAGAAAAACTTTTGTAACAATATCATTTTTTTTTACAATTATGTGAATATATGTTAGCATGAGAGTACATATATTAATATATAATATAATAAGTATTTATTAAATAATAAATACAAAGTATAAACAACACTAACATCTAAGTTTTACTCATTAAGTGAGTTATTGAATTTGGTCAAAAATTTTTTTTTTTAAATCTAATAAATTAATAAGTATTATATGTCTTTTCATATGTGCAATAATTATTACCAATAATTTTATATTAAATATTTATAATAAATAATAAAGTCAGTGATCTATTTAAAAAATATATAAATATCTTTTGATTTTTAAAATATTAAAACAATTATAACTGTCAACTTAAAAAGAGTATAAAATGCTTTTTCAAGTTTATGAACATAGTAACAAATATTTTATTTTCATAACTTTGTCTAAGTTTCTTTTGAATCTGTCTCAATTTTTTTTTATCATACTTAGAATTATGCAATTCACTCTCTTCAAAGGTCTTTTGCACTACTTTAAATAATTTTCAGTCATCTTTTTTATTATAGGTGCTATTATAATATTTTTTATATATTATTATCTCATATTTTATTTTATTTTTTTGTGTCCACTCATTCATTTTAACATTCTCGCTTTTTTCACTCTCACTTTTTTTCTAATATTGTTCCCCGAAACCCAACATTCAATACCATATAAGATATTTTTTTTGTTTTTTAATATGTGACATTTAAAGATTGTGTATACAAACCAAATAATAATTTTCACGATTTATAATAAATTTGTTAATTTTTTTCAATTATACTTTTATTATTTCTCATTCTTCCTTCACTTATTATCACATATAATAACTTATATTCTCTCTTTAATTAATAGGAACTAAGAATATAATGATTTAAAAGATGACTCAATTATGTTTTTAGTTCTTATGAATATGGAGTATTTTATGATAAGTTCTTTATGACATTTTTTTTTATTAAAATATAATCTCTATAAAATTAAAAAGTTAAAATTTAATCTATATTATTTATTCCGTAGAGTTATTGTTATTTATTTTTATATTTTTTACTATTTAATATTAATATTTATAAATAAATTTTTAAACATATTTTATATAATTATAAATAAATTCATCTTCTCTCTTTTTTCCTTTTTTATACCCTTCCTCCTCTTCCTCTCTCTCTCCATCTGCACACTTCATTCCCACAGCCAACAAAGAAGACTAAATTAAAGGATTATATATATGTCTATATTGCTTTAGAACATTGATTCATAAGCAAATCTCAAAAAGAGAAAAAAATTTACAAATAGAAAAAATGCTCAAAAAGTAAAGTAATAGAAAAAGGGAAGGGGGAGGGAAGAGGTGAGAACGAAAGTATAGGGAGGGTTACAGTTTAAGAAAAGGTATAAAAATAAAGGTGTAGAGAAGAGTAACAGGAATGGTTGTAATTTAGTAAGAAGGATGTTACAATTTATGAGAAAAGTAATGGAGATAGAAGTGGGGAAAGAGAAATTGGAAAAGGAAAAGGTAGAGGATAGGGTGGTGTAAAAGGGAGAGTGAAGGAATGAGGTGTAGAAGGAAAGGGTATATGAATGAAGTTGGAAGAAAGTTGAAAGGTGAAAGAAAGATAAGAGGATGGAGAAAAGAAGGAACCCAGAGTATAGGATAGAATAAGAAGAAAATAAAAAAGAAAGAAAAGATTTTTTTTTTTAAATATTAAAAATGTGTTAAATTTTTTTTATAAATGTTAATTTTAAAAAATAAAATATTATTAAATTAAATAATACGACATAATACATAAAAGTGTTAATAGGAAGTTGACAAACAGATACTAAATCATAACTTTTTAATTCTATAAAATTAAATACTAATAAATTTTTTTATAAAAATTTATCACAAATATCTTATATTTATAGAAATAAAAACATAATTATTGTAATTATAAATTTTAAAAATAGGATAAATAATAATAAATTTTTGTTAAAAAAAGAATAAATTGAGTACATGTTTATTAGTTTATAATTTGTTTAACTTGTAAATCACAGAAAACTTTGAGTTATGGGCATTTTCTTTCATTTTTATCTATTGTTTTCTCCAAATTCTTCTTACTTTCATTTGTATCACTAGGGACGCCATAAGAACTCAAGTTTTATAAACCTATTTTACATAGCTGGTGGTTCAGTGTGTGTAAACGCTCAAAAATGCAGTGTTTTATTCGCAAATTGATAACACACCGTTCCCATCAATGCCATCATCCCCACAGCAAGATCTCTCACCGTATCTTCAACACTCGTCCTCACAGTGCCTTCTCTTTTCCCAAACCTTCACAACCCCAACAACACCAAAGTAACCACATTCCACCCTTTTTCCTCACTCACCCACTTCATAGTTTTCAACCATGTCGCTCAATGTCCGCCAAAGTTCGCGCCTTTCTCTCCCAATCAATGATCTCTGCGAAAATCCTCCTACATCGCAGTTATGGGCTTCACAGAGTTCATTTTCATCGACATAACTTCAATTTCAACCGTAATTATGATTTTAACCGGCGTGGTTGGTAATTTTCCGTAGCATTCTGAGCCCCATAATTCTCTGTTTTAGGTTGTAGTTCATACTTTTCACCCTCACTTTCCTGATTTGAATTGCGACTCAGGTTTAACTAGGGTTTACGAGGTTTCTGCTTATGATTTTTTTCTCTTTTTATGGTAACTTCAAGAAGATATTTTATCGCGTTTGCAGGAGATCGTGGTTCGATAGGCTAACACCTGATGACATGGTTCTGGGCTTGATTATAGCTAATGCGGCTATTTTTTTATCATGGAGGATAGCAGATGAAAAGTTTATGATAAAAAACTTTACTGTGAGTTTCTTGATTTATAAATCTTGATCAACTTGATAATGCCACATTTTTATATATTATTTGCCTGAACTTTACTTTGTATGGCACTCCCACCTGTGTTGTGGTTTTATCAATTATTTCTTAGGAAACCTTCTTAATGAGATGGTGTTATATTGATATGATATATTACTGTTGTCTTTACATTTGTACAAGTACACTTGTTTTATTTTTATTGAGAATAGAAAGAGAAAATCCTAGCGTTTTGAAGCTTCAAATAATTCCTAACAACCATACATCCACATTTTCTAGTTTAAGTTTATTTTCTCGAGATACTATAAAATGGTTAAATCAAATCCATGCCTGATGCATATAGATTAGTATGGATTTCATCAAACATAAAATAGTAGTGATTTCTGGTAGGCTACTTTACCAACTGTTGAAGGATGGAATCCAGAAATGTGATGTTTCAACCTTGAATGTTATTGTCTGTATGGATTTAACATCATCTAGACTGCTTACTTAATTATTTTCTGTAAACAGGTCTCTTTGGACAATTTTCTGAGTGGACGTTTGCACACTTTGATTACGAATGCATTCAGTCACGTAGATACTTGGCATATGATTTCCAACATGGTTGGACTCTACTTCTTTGGAATGAATGTAAGTTGCTGTTCTTGTATGATAGTTTTGGTCATTATTTCTCAGTTCTCACCCTTTGATTTGTCTTCATTTAATTCTACTTTTGGTAAACTTTTTTTTTTTTATGTATTTTACTAATATGTGCGTCTCTCCCTTTGAGTTACTACTAAATGTTAGGAGTCAAGACCTTTAGACCATAAGATTTGATGAGTGATTTTACCAAAAGAAGAAACAGATTATTGCAATTAACATAAATTGTAGATATATTTAATTATTCATTATTAGCATATTACAAATAGCTTGGCTTGTTAAAAACATATAAAGTTTTCTTAATAGATAAATATCTATCTTTTGTGCTGCTTTTTCTTCAATAAATTTTTTTTCCTATTTGCTTCTAGAACCATCTAACTTATCCCATTGGGCTTTGGGCAGATTGGAAGAAATTTTGGACCTGAATTTCTGCTGAAGCTGTATCTTGCTGGGGCAGTTGGTGGCTCTATTTTTTACTTATTGCATCAGACCTATAAGGCACAAACATCAAAGGTCGAACAATGATTAGAGCACAAGTACAATGCCTGGGAAGCAATTCTATAACTTGCATTTTCTTTGAAAAGAAAATGAGCATAATTTTGACTTGATTCCTACCTCAGAAACTAAAACGAAAAATAGTAATTAATATGCTAATTCTTCAAATCATAACCTTTTGAGATATGAGTTTCTACATTTTACCTTCATTCTGATATACCTACCTGTATATTTTGAAACTCATAAAGCTAAATGGGGACTGTTTTGTCATAGTATAGAAAGATAAATTAATAATGAGCATATTTTATGCCTAGTATAACTACTGTGCTGCTGATAAATTTTATTGACATATGAGCAAAAGTGAATACTTATTCCCATTGTTGGTTGGAACTTGAACATATTTGGTTGAAATTCTTTACAAACATGAGAAAGTATGTATCCTGGACCCCAAAAAAAACAAAATAAAAGAAGAAGTCTTTATCAACTATTCTTTATTAAATTTTGACATTTCTCTGCATTCTGTTTGCAACAGGACAAGAGACCCATGATCTTGTCAAAGGGATTGGTAAGCTTTTAGAAACTATTCTATAGATTCTGTGATGGGCTCCTTTTCTCTAGGTAGTAAAGGCCATGTCTTTTGAGAACAATCATTTCTTGGTTTGACTTGTCAACTTATTTATTTATTTTTTTATGAACAATGCATTTTCAGGAAATTATTTTTGCTTTTTTACTTTTGATCTGTGTTGATTACCTTGAAAATCTTTCTATTTCGAATCTGATGGGCCAAATGCTACTAAGACCCAACCAAACAAGGGCAGATGGGCAAAGGTCTATTTTCATAAGCCAAGGGCATAGGCAAGAAAGGATGAGCCGGTGGGGCAAGAGATGTGAAGAGTTAGTTAGAAGAAAGAGAGTATGTAAGGGATAGCAAGTGGGGTTGGCAGGCATGAATTCAATTTTTCCTTAAGCTTAGGCTGCTTTGGAAAATTCTCTCCATTGTTGGGAGCGTTGCTCTTGTCTTTCTGTATTCGCATTTGCATTTCAGTTCAATAAATTCATAATTCTCTCTGATAGGATTTTCCTCCTATCAGAATCAAATAACAAGTATATTGCAACATAAATTTAATTTTTCATGGATAATTTGCACTGAAAGGCAGAAAATTCCTTTCAGGTGTGACATTCAATGTAGTCAGTGATTTCATTGCATTTTGAGTTCTAAACTTTGTCTTCTGTACCTTTGTGGCACACATCATTATGTATAGATGGGTTGTCATTGCCTACCAGCATTAATCTATTTTATGCTGTTCATTGGACTCCATTAAGTTTTCAGTTGCTGGAAATGTCTATTTTTCTAAATGTTAATCGTTATAGATAGATTGCCATGTTATTTTTGTAAAGGCATTGAAAATTACTATTTCCTTGTATAACTTCTGATGTTGGTTAAAGTCACTGTCTCTGATTAATTGAAATTGAACTTGACAATCATTAGGGGGCAAGTGGAGCTGTGAATGCCGTTATGCTGCTTGACATTTTCCTCTTTCCGAAAGCTACCCTTTACTTTGACTTTTTTATTCCAGTTCCTGCAGTCTTACTGGTATACACTTGTTAACCTTATGCTATGTCAAAACTGTGAATTTGAAATGGGAATACTGACATATCCTTTTCTTTTGTCTTATAAACTTGTTAATTAAGGGCATCTTTTTGATTGGGAAAGATATGCTAAGGATAATAGAGGTATGGTGAATTTTCCGAAGTCTTACTTCTTCACTATTTTTCATAGAATTTTCCATCTTGTGTGTGTTAATTGTAGAGAAATGATCAAATGCTAGTCATAACTACAAGTTGAATGACATCAACATAATCCCCACAAAATAAGCCAGAAAGTAAAGTTACATTTTTGTAATTAAAATGAAAACAAAAACCATTTTTGGAAATTAAACAGCACTGAAGTTTATTTAACTTTCCAATTTCTTTGGTAAAGGAAAATAAAAAGAAATGAATTGTTAATAGTTGATTGGTATCAATGATTCTTAATTGCATTGAGTCATGCATGAAGTCGTCTTTAACTCATCACATGATGCAATTCTAGCAACTATGCCCAAGACCACTTCAGAGACCATCCCTCTTTTCTCCTTTCTCTTACCTGTGCCGAGAATATTCCTCTTTGCGTGGCGGGAGTGGAAAAGGGAGTGGGAAGTCGTTGTGTCTCACCGTCACCCTATCATCTAGCGAATTTGTTGATGCCTGCATAGTGCATATCTTTCGAAATCCACTTGTTATTCATTCCATGGGGGAATATTAAAAGTAATTGTTGGTTTTCAAATTGTAGGGAGACAGTACAATATCAGGATCTGCACATTTGGGGGGTGCTGCAGTTGCAGCCATTGCTTGGGCAGGAGTTAGGAAAGGAAGATTCTATTAAATCATTTTGCAAACCCCAACAAAAAAATTTATTTATTTATTTATTACTGTTCAATGAATTGTTGATGTTAGCTATCGTTATGAAGTCATTGGTTTAAACATAGATTACTAACAGTGGCACCGCACATACAAAAATCAGTTGTCTTTGTTTTCAGGTTTGAATGATATATTATTGATTTAAATTTGCATTCTTATACCAAACCCCTCCACACAAAAAAAATAAAATAAAAATAAAAATAAAAATTAGCCCCGCTTGAAAGTGAAAGGAGAATTCATCAAATGATATCAAGTGTATTTTCCTAAACCTGTGCTAGATTAGAATTTCGTGCAGTAACAAAAATTTGCTTGAGATCATAGAATCTTGAGTATCTCATTTGTATTCATGTATCTGAGTGATGTTATATCTATAGGCATTTATATAGTAGAAGTTTCATACATTCTTTGGTTTTTTGTATGCAACAGTTGACCGTTTGAGCTACCCAACATTGTATTGCCCATGATCAGATTAATGTGGTTTTATTGCATCTTTGTTTTAGCTTAACTTTTAATAAATCTTCACTTTTCTTTTTAAGAAAGAAACGTTTGTATTGTAAAGTAAAAGAATGTGAAAACGCATCTGTTTGCTTTTAGCAGACTAAGGAATAAGACATTTGTCTTCTGTTTCTTGATAATATATATATATATATATATATATATATATATATATTGAAAGCTAAAAACACGAGGTGGGTTTTTAAGATGGGTTGGGTGACAAGTTCATCATGTGTGTCCTGAAGAGATTTGTTACATTTTAGTCAGGTAAACTCTCACCTTATGACTTGGAACTTGAATAAAGTTAAATTTTTTAAATTTAAAATTTTAGTTTTAAAATTAACAATTGTCAATTACTTTGGTTTTTATTGTTAAAGGATGATAAAATTGAATAAGTGTCATGTGAGAGTTTATTTTACATATAAAATAATATTTTATAATATTTTAAAAATAATTTATTTTTGTCTTTAACTATTAACATATTTGGGCAATAAGATTTATATTTTGCTATCTTTCATGATGTCTTAATTTTTGCTTTAATTGTTTTGTTGTAATGATTTTTTTTTTCATGATATATGTTTTGCCTTCTTTTCATTGTAATAGTTTTACTCATTTTTTATCTATAACTTTCTCTTTCCGTTAAACTAAAACCTCATTTCTCTTTCATAAATGCAATTCAACAAGTTCAAGTCAACATCTACTAAAATCACTTTTAAATCTAACCTTTTTTATCAACTTACTTCGCACTCCCTGGATCTCATAGAATCGGAGAAATCGAAAAAAAAAAGATAATGTCATAGAAGAAAGGTGAAATATAAGAGTAGAAAGTAATTTTATTGATTTAAAATGTTAAAAGTTAAGGACAAAAATAAATTATTTTTGAATTATAAAACGATATCATTTTGTGTCTAGAATAAATTAATACGTATCACTTAACTTAATTTATCATTATTTCATTACTCACTTTTAATGTCTTTTAATAATAAAGACTAAAGTGATATTACATATTTTAAGGAATAAAGTGAATATTTATTTTTTTTAGTCTTTAATAATATATTTGCTATTATGTATTGAAGAATTACTAAATTTAAATTTATTCCTCTTTTATAGGTTGGAGTTTCTAATCTTATCCTTTTAGTGTTCTAATATCCTAATGTATTTACAATTATTATTATTAATATTATTATTATTATTATTATTGTTATTATTATTATTATTATTATTATTATTATTATTATTATATTATTGTTTTTGTTTGCTTGTGTTGAAGAATCATAGGAAATGTTTATAGTTTCTCTACAAGCACTTGCTGACTTTAATATTTTTAACAATTTACTTTACTATAATAATTAATAAAACTAATCAATTTTTTTAAGATGTACATACTTCAAATGACTTTTAATGAAAGGCAAAGAGAATAAAATTATTTATTCTTGTATGCTTTTTATATTAGTTGTTACAAAATAGTTTTATAATAATATTTATTTTTTACATTCACGTGAACATATGTTTTTACATTAGTGCAAGTATTAATAAATAATATTTTTTTATCAAATAATAAATACAACATATAAACAACAATAATAATTAACTTTTATTTCATTGAATAAAATTGACTATATGGATTATACTTCTGATTAAATTTAGTTAAAAAGTAAATTTTTAAAACATTAGTTAATCAAAATATCTCTCTTAGTAATTTTTTTAAAGATTCTTTTGATTTCTCATTATTTTTTTGACCTTCAAAGATTTTCTCATGAACTAACTATTTTAGTTTATTTTTAATTACCTTTTTGACTATGGTTGCTAATTTAATATTACTCTCACTTTCTTTTTGCATTTTAAGATTAATATTCGTTATCATAAAGATAATATTTATTATTTTATAATTTGTTTACACGTGAATCGCAGTAATCTTAACTTGATGATCGACATTTTCTTTCATTTTTTATTTATTATTTTTTCCAAATTCTTCTTATTTTCATTTGTATCATTACAGTCGCCGTAAAGAAAGTAAGTTTTATAAATCTATTTTATATAGGTAGTGATTCAGTGTGTGTAAACGCTAAAAAAGCAATGTCTTTGACTTTTAATAATTTTGGACAATAAAGTCTATGTTTTACCATCTTTCATGATGTCTTGATTTTTTCTTTCATAGTTGCAATGATGTTTTTTTTTTTTATATGGTATCTGTTTTGCCTTCTTTTTATTGCAATAGTTTTACTCAATCTTCCTTTTTATAACTTTCTCTTTTGTTCAAATCAAAATCTCATCTTTTCTTTCATAAATGCAATCTAACAAGTTACAATTTTTATCAATTCAAACATAATCTTTCTACTGTCATAATTACCAAAATAACCTTCAAATTTAAATTTTTCATCAACTCATATCATACTCCTTAGGTCGCACACCTATTTTACTTCTCTAACATTGCTCCTTTCTGGTAAATCATCACCTGACTTCAGTAAAATTAATTTTAACTGTGCCTCTTTTATTATTGATTTTGTTTCAAACATTTTCCAAAATCTCTAGGTAAGGTTCAAATTTGGTTGTTTTAATAATAAAACTTGAGACCAAAAAACTTTACAACGTGAATACCATTACAGGAATGATTGGAGGAAGAAAGAAAATGTCGTTGAAGAAAAGAGAAGTAAAAGACCAAAAAAAAAATCTTGTTGACTAAAAATGCTAAAAGTTAAGGACAAAAATGAACTATTTTTAAATTATAAAACAATATCATTTTATGTTTATAATAAATTAACACATATCACTTAACTTGATATATCATCATACTCTTATTCACTTTTAATGTCTTTTAACAATAAATGCTAATGCGATCAACAATTGCTAATTCTTAAGAATAAAATTTTAAATTTAAGGGATTAATTTAAATAACGTTACATATATTGATGAATAAAGTGAATGTTTCCTTGTTTATTTTTAGTTCTTAACGAGATATTTACTATTATGTATTAAAGAATTACTAAAATTTAATTTATTTCTCTTTTATAAGTTAAAGGCTTTAACCTTATTTTTTTTAGTGTTCTAATGTATGTCTGTATTATTATTATTATTATGTTTTTATTTTTGTTTGCTTGTGTTCAAGAATCTTTGGATATGAGTCCTTAGTTTCTTTACAAGCACTTAATTACTTTAATATTTTTAACAATTACTTTATTATAATAATTAAAAATAAAATTAATTTTTTCTAAGATGTGTATACTCCAAATTACTTTTAATGAGAGGCAAAAAGAATAAAATTATTTATCCTTTTATACTTTTTATATTAGTTGTTATAAAATAGTTTTGTAATTATATATATATATATATATATATATATATATATATATATATATATATTACATTCAAGTGAATATATGTTTTCACATTAGTGCATGTATTAATAAATAATAATATTTTTATATCAAATAATAAATACAATATATAAACACAACAATAATCAAGTTTTATTTCATTAAATAAAATTGATTACATAAATTACACTATTGAATTTGGTTAAAAACATTATAATAACTTCGTTTATGATTATTTTGATTTCTTTTTATTTTTTCAGACCTTTCTCTTTGCATGAACTAACTATCTTAGCTCATTTTTAATTATCTTTTTAACTATATGGCCAATCTAATATTGCTCTAACTTTCTTTTTACATTTTAAGATTAATTTTCATTATCGTAAATAAAATATTTATTAATTTATAATTTATTTACTTGTAAATAACTTAACTTGATGATCGGCATTTTCTTCTATTTTTATCCATTGTTTTCTACGAATTCTTATTTTCATTTGTATCATTAGTGTCGCCAGAAGGAGGCAAGTTTTATTAACCTATTTTACGTAGCCGTGGTTCCGTGTGTGTAAACGCTCGAAAATGCTGTGTTTTCTTCGCAAACTGATAACACACCATTCCAATCAATGCCATCATCCCCACAGCAAGGTCTCACCGTATCTTCAACACTCGTCCTCGCAGTGCCTTCTCTATTCCCAAACCTTCACAACCCCAACAACACCAAAGTAACCACATTCCACCCCTTTTCCTCACTCACCCACTTCATCGTTTTCAACCATGTCGCTCAATTTCCGCCAAAGTTCGCGCCTTTCTCTCCCAATCAATGATCTCTGCGAAAATCCTCCTACATCGCAGTTATGGGCTTCACAGAGTTCATTTTCATCGACATAACTTCAATTTCAACCGTAATTATGATTTTAACCGGCGTGGTTGGTCATTTTCCGTAGCATTCTGAGCCCTATAATTCTCTATTTTAGGTTGTAGTTCATACTTTTCACCGATTCGAATTGCGACTCAGGTTTAACTAAGATTTATGAGGTTTTTGCTTATGATTTTTTTTTTCTTTTTTATGGTAACTTCAACAAGATATTTTATCGTGTTTGCAGGAGATCATGGTTCCAAAGGCCAACACCTGATGACATGGTTCTGGGCTTGATTATAGCTAATGTGGCTATTTTTTTATTATGGAGGATAGCAGATGAAAAGCTTATGAAAAAAAAAACTTTAACGAGAGTTTCCTGATTTATAAATCTTGATCAACTTGATAATGCCACATTTTCAGATATTATTTGCCTGAACTTTGCTTTGTATGGCACTCCCACCTATGTTATGGTTTTATCAATTATTTCTTAGGAAACCTTCTTAATGAGATGGTGTTATATTGATTTGATATATTACTATTGTCTTTAAATTTGTATAAGTACACTTGTTTTATTTTTATTGAGAATAGAGAGAGAAAATCCTAGTATTTCAAAGCTTCAAATAATTCCTAACAACCATACATCCACATTTTCAAGTTTAAGTTTTTTTTCTGGAGATGCTATGAAATGGTCAGATCAAATCCATGCCTGACGCATGCAGATTAGTATGGATTTCATCAAACATCAAAATAGTAGTGATTTCTGGTGGGCTACTTTACCAACCGACATGTTGTCAAATAGCGGCTATTGCGCCGTATTACGTTTTTGCGGATCGGATTTTAGGCTTCCCACCGTGCAATGGTTATTGGGTTGCGGTTTCGCCATTTCCATGGCGGCCGCTATACATGTGACGGACACTGTATATGAAGCGGAAATAGCGAATTGGACAGTTTTTGGGTGTTTTGAAAATAAAGGAACTGAACAGTAACTACTTGCTCTGGTGACTAATTTTGAAGAGGAACAGTCTCTCTTTCCTCCATTCACCTTCTTTCTTTGCTGAAACGAAAGACAGAGCACAATACAGGCACTCATTTCTTATCACCCACTCAGGGCGTGTCCTCTGCCTGTTATCTCCAGCAACTACTGTTGCCTCCGGCGCTTCTCCAGTGAGTACTGTTTTCTCCTGCTAGTCTCTCTTTCCTCCATTAAGCTCCTCTGTTTAGAAATACGAAAACAGAGTACAACAGAGGCACCTATTTCTCATCACCTACCCAGTGCACCTCCGCCAGCTATCATCTCCAGCTACCACTGTTGCCTCTAGCCAGTTCCAAGGAGCACTGTTGTCTCCGGCTAGTCATGTGGCTGCAGTTTTCTGCCGTGTTTTTATTCTTTTGTAACTGTTGAAGGATGGAATCCAGAAATGTGTTGTTTCAACCTTCAACGTAATTGTCTGTATGGATTTAACATCATCTAGATTGCTTACTTAATTGTTTTATGTGAACAGGTCTCTTGGGACAATCTTCCGAGTGGACGTTTGCACACATTTATTACCAATGCATTCTGTCACGTAGATACTTGGCATATGATTTCCTACATGGTTAAACTCTACTTCTTTGGAAGGAATGTAAGTTGCTGTTATTTCTCAGTTCTCACCCTTTGATCTGTCTTCATTTAATTCTACTTTTGGTAAACTTTTTTTTTTTTAATGTATTTTACTAATATGTGCGTCTCTCCCTTTGAGTTACTACTAAATGTTAGGAGTCAAGACCTTTAGACCATAAGATTTGATGAGTGATTTTACCAAAAGAAGAAATAGATTATTGCAATTAACGTACACTGTAAATATATTTAATTACTCATCATTAGCATATAGCTTGGCTTGTTAAAAATATATAAAGTGCCCATAATAGATAAATTTCTATCTTTCGTGCTGTGAATTTTTTGTTCCATTAGCTTCTAGAACCATCTAATTTATCCCATTGGGCTTTGGGCAGATTGGAAGAAATTTTGGACCTGAATTTCTGCTGAAGCTGTATCTTGCTGGGGCAGTTGTGGCTCTATTTTTTACTTATTGCATCAGACCTATAAGGCACAAACATCAAAGGTCGAACAATGATTAGAGCACAAGTACAATGCCTGGGAAGCAATTCTATAACTTGCATTTTCTTTGAAAAGAAAATGAGCATAATTTTGACTTGATTCCTACCTCAGAAACTAAAATGAAAAATAGTAATTAATATGCTAATTCTTCAAATCATAACCTTTTGAGATATGAGTTTCTACATTTTACCTTCATTCTGATATACCTACCGGTATATTTTGAAACTCATAAAGCTAAAACTTTTTTTGAGAAACACCTGGTACATTTGATTCAAAATCACCATCTACAGTTGAATTTTCCGAAAGTCAAAATGGGGACTGTTGTGTCATAGTATAGAAAGTTAAATTAATAATTACCATATTTTATGCCTAGTATAACTACTGTGCTGCTGATAAATTTCAATGACATATGAGCAAAAGTGAATACTTATTCCCGATGTTGGTTGGAACTTGAACATATTTGGTTGAAATACTTCACAAACATGAGAAAGTATGTATCCTGGACCCCCCAAAAAACAAAATAAAAGAAGAAGTCTTTATCAACTATTCTTTATTAAATTTTGACATTTCTCTGCATTCTGTTTGCAACAGGACAAGAGACCCATGATCTTGTCAAAGGGATTGGTAAGCTTTTAGAAACTATTCTATAGATTCTGTGATGGGCTCCTTTTCTTTAGGTAGTGAAGACCATGTCTTTTGAGAACAAATATTTCTTGGTTCGACTTGTCAACTTTTTTTTTTTTTTTTTATGAAAAATGCATTTTCAGGAAATTATTTTTGCTTTTTTACTTTTGATCTGTGTTGATTACCTTGAAAATCTTTCTATTTCGAATCTGATGGGCCAAATGCTACTAAGATCCAACCAAACAAGGGCAGATGGGCAAAGGTCTATTTTCGTAAGCCGAGGGCATAGGCAAGAAAGGATGAGCCGGTGGGGCAAGAGATGTGAAGAGTTAGTTAGAAGAAAGAGAGTATGTAAGGGATAGCTAGTGAGGTTGGAAGGGATCAATTAAATTTTTCCTTAAGCTCAGGCTGCTTTGGAAAATTCTCTCCATTGCTGGGAGCTTTGCTCTTTTCTTTCTGTATTCGCATTTGCATTTCAGTTCAATAAATTCATAATTCTCTCTAGTAGGAGTTTCCTCCTATCAGAATCAAATAACGAGGATATTGCAACATAAATTTAATTTTTCATGGATAATTTGCACTGAAAGGCAGAAAATTCCTTTCGGGTGTGACATTCAAAGTAGTCAGTGATTTCATTGCATTTGAGTTCTAAACTTCGTCTTCTGTACCTTTGTGGCACACATCATTATGTATAGATGGGTTATCATTGCCTACCAGCATTCATCTATTTTATGCTGTTCAATGGACTCCATTAAGTTCTCAGTTGCAGGAAATGTCTATTCTTTTTTAAATGTTAATCGTTATAGATAGATTGCCATGTTATTTTTGTAAAGGCATTGAAAATTACTATTTTCTTGTATGACTTCTGGTGTTGGTTAAAGTCACTGCCTCTGATTAATTGAAATTGAACTTGCCAATCAGTAGGGGGCAAGTGGAGCTGTGAATGCCGTTATGCTGCTTGACATTTTCCTCTTTCCGAAAGCTACCATTCACATTGACATGTTTTTTCCAGTTCCTGCAGTCTTTCTGGTATACACTTGTTAACCTTATGCTATGTCAAAACTGGGAATTCGTAATGTAAATACTGACATATCCTTTTCTTTTGTCTTATAAACTTGTTAATTAAGGGCATCTTTTTGATTGGGAAAGATATGCTAAGGATAATAAAGGTATGCTGAATTTTCCGAAGTCTTACTTCTTCACTATTTTTCATAGAATTTTTATCTTGTGTGTTACTAGTAGAGAAATGATCAAATGCTAGTCATAACTACAAGTTAAATGACATCAACATGATCCCCACAAAATAAGCCACAAAGTAAAGTTACATTTTTGTAATTAAAATGAAAAAAAAAAACATTTTTGGAAATTAAACAGCACTTAAGTTTATTTAACTTTCCAATTTCTTTGGTAAAGGAAAATAAAAAGAAATGAATTGTTAATAGTTGATTGGTGTCAATGATTCTTAATTGCATTGAATCATGCGTGAAGTCGTCTTTAACTCATCACATGATGCAATTCTAGCAACTATGTCTAAGACCACTTCAGAGACCATCCCTCTTTTCTCCTTTCTCTTACCTATGCCGAGAATATTCCTCTTTGCGTGGCGGGAGTGGAAAAAGGAGTGCGAAGTGGTTCCTGCATAGTGCATATCTTTCGAAATCCACTTGTTATTCATTCCATGGGGGAATATTAAAAATAATTGTTGGTTTTCAAATTGTAGGGAGACAGTACAATATCAGGATCTGCACAATTGGGGGGTGCTGCAGTTGCAGCCATTGCTTGGGCAGGATTTAAGAAAGGAAGATTCTATTAAATCATTTTGCAAACCCCAAAAACCAGTTATTTATTTATTTATTACGGTTCAATGAATTGTTGATGTTAGCTATCGTTATGAAGTCATTGGTTTAAACTTAGATTACTAACAGTGGCACCGCACATACAAAAATCAGTTGTCTTCGTTTTCAGGTTTGAATGATATATTATTGATTTAAATTTTCATTCTTATCCCAAACCCCTCCAAAAAAAAAAAAAAGAGAAATATTCACCCCGCTTGAAAGTGAAAGGAGAATTCATCAAATGATATTAAGTGTATTTTCCTAAACCTGTGCTAGATTAGAATTTCGTGCAGTAACAAAAATTTGCTTGAGTTCAAAGAATCTTGAGTATCTCACTTGTATTCATGTATCTGAGTGATGTTATATCTATAGGCATTTAAAGAGTAGAAGTTTCATACATTCTTTGGTTTTTTGGATGCAACAGTTGACCGTTTGAGCTACCCAACTTTGTATTGCCCATGATCAGATAAATGTGGTTTTATTGCATCTTTGTTTTAGCTTAACTTTTAATAAATATTCACTTTTCTTTTTAAGAAAGAAATGTTTGTATTGTAAAGTAAGAGAATGTAAAAACACGAGGTGGGTTTTTAACATGGGTTGGGTGACAAGTTCATCATGTGTCTTGAAGATATCTGTTACATTTTAGTAAAGCTCTTACCTTAGTACTTGCAATTATATAATATACAACTTGAATAAAGTTAATTTTTGAAATTTAAAATTTTAGTTTTGTAATTAATAATTATTTAATTTCATTAGTCTTTATTATTAAAAGATGTTAAAATTGAATAATAGAGTAGTGATTTGTTGTATTAAATGTCACATGATAGTTTATTTTAGATATAAAATAATATTTTAAAAATAATTTATTTTTATCTTTGACTTTTAATATTTTTTATAATAATAATAAATGTCATTTTGTTGTCACATTTACTAAAATCACTTTCAAATTCAACTTTTTCGTGAACTCACTTCACACTTCTTAAATTTCACACCTTTTTGACTCTTTTCTGACATCGTCTCCTAGTGATAAATCATCATTTGACTTCAATAAAATCAATCTCAATTGTATCTCTTTTATCATTGATTTTGTTTCAAACTTTCACCAAAATCTCTGGGCAAGATTCAAATTTGATCATTCAAATAATAAAACTTGGGACGAAAAAACTTTGCAGCATGAACACCATTATAGAAATGATCAAAGGAAGGAAGAAAATGTCATGAGAGAATGGTGAAATAGAATATTAGAGAAGAATTTTGTTGACAAAAAATATTTAAAGTTAAAGATAAACATGAACTATTTTTGAATTATAAAATGATATTATTTTGTGTTCAGAATAAATTAACATATCACTTAACTTGATATATCATCATCTTGTTATTCACTTTTAATGTCTTTCAACAACAATTACTAATTCATGAGATTAAAATTTTAAATTTAAAGGATTGATTTGAATAACATTGCATATTTTAAGAAATAAAGTAAATGCTTACTTCTTTTTAGTCCTTAAATAGATATTTACTATTATGTATTGAAGAATTACTAAATTTCAATTTATTCCTCTTTTATAGGTTAGAGTTTCTAATCTTGTCCTTTTAGTGTTCTAATACCTTAATGTATATATGTATGTATTGTTATTATTTTGTTTTTGTTTGCTTGTTTTCAAGAATCCTAGACAATAAGTCTTTAGTTTCTTTACAAGCACTTGCTTACTTTAATATTTTTAACAATTTACTTTACTATAATAATTAATAAAACTATTTTTTTAAAGAGTGTATATTCCAAACGACTTTTAATGAGAGGCAAAGAGAATAAAATTATTTATCCTTATATGTTTTTTATATTAGTTGTTACAAAATAGTTTTGTAAGAATATATTTTTTTTTAACATCCAAGTGAACATATGTTTTCACATTAGTGCATGTATTAATTAATAATAATATTTTTATATCAAATAATAAATACAACATATAAACAACAATAATAATTAAGTTCCCATTAAGTAAAGTGGACTACATAGCAAATCTCTCATTAAGGATAATTGAAATCATGGCCGCGCGGTTGCCTCTAAAGCTACACTCATCCTTTTCAAGTGTACCTTATTTGGTGGTTGAATGCTTGATTACAAACAAAAGTTTTTACCAGGATAATTGAAATCAACTTGCTCATGGAACAAAGAAATCACCTGTCTATATTGTTAAATTCATGTCAAAATAAGTGATTTATGGTGTAAATAAGTTAAACGGTTACAATCAACTCACAAACGTTGGTTATGGCCACAATATGAGAGTATGTTTTGAATGTTAGGGTCCAAATCTTCCTGATCAATTTAATTCGGGCATCATTGTAGGATTGTTATGTACCTCTTGAAATAAAAAATAAGGATTGTTATGTAGCCATTCAAGCGAAATTTCTTTATATTAAAAAAATGCTGAAATCCAAAAACAAGATAATAAATTTCAAAATGAACCAGTCTAAGAATGTAAGGAGCTTTATATGATTATATCATGTAAGAAGGCGTTATATGTTGCTATTAACCAATTACAAAACATCACAATGAGAACAACACTTGTCTTAGAATGTGTACTAAAAAGTATGAGCAAAAGCAAAAAAGTATATGCTGCAGACCTCATAAGTTGAGAACCTTCTACTGATGTCTAAAACAGTAGCATTGTTTGTAATTTGGTCAGATAATGAAAGTATGATGCTTTAATGTTGTCATTCCAATCTCTATTTTTGGGTGACTTCAATTGCACTTGGGGTGTTCTTCATTTCAATGGAGGGGTCTGTCATTTATGATAGCTGACCTCTGAATAGAAACTGAAATTAGATAAGGACTCTTATCTTCATCAAAACGTTATCACTTCTATTGAAACGTCACTCTAATTCTTTCACCATCAGATCGTAAATTATAACTCTCTTTGATTTACCTAATCTCCACTTTACTTTGCAAAACACTATATATGTCTCATTTTTTTGAAGTTCTTTTTGTCTTTTTTTAAACTAACAATGTATATCATAATTCAGTTCAAATTAGGGGTAAATAAGTAATTTCAATTCTACTAAATTTGGTATTCCATTATTATATTAAGACAAAATTTATATGTTATTTTTTAAGACGTTGTTTACTAATTAGATTTTATTTTGATAAAATATTTGTATTTAATGTATTTATGATAATGTACCTAAGATTTATCCACTATAATATATATTTTTATACTAATTACTATCATCCATTTTTCATTAAGAGGATTAAACTCTTCATCCACCTTTTTTTTAACCAGTTATAATTTTTAAGAATCATTTCAATAAAAATTAATATTTTTTCTTAACATTATTAACTCTCCATTTTTAAACCAAGATTTTATCCTATTTATCATTATATTTATATATTTACGTATAATTCATTTTTAAATTTAATTAATATTTAAAATAAGTAGATAATGTTTTTATCACATGTATCACATTGTTTTGGGTGAGTAAAGGAGCCAAGGCCCAGATTGCTCATAAAAAATTGTAATAGTGTAATTCAAGTCCCACTAACACACACCTCTAACCCATAAATATTTACCTCATTTGAAATAAAATTATATTCTTTTATTTTTATAGGATTAAATACACACGTTATTATAAAAGTATTTAAATATTTAAATTTAGAAAATTATATGACATATATCTATAATATATATATATATATATATATATATATATATATATATATAGGTTTATCTAAAGTAAAATATTATAAGTATAACTTTGTGTTGCATTTATTTTTTTTAAAATCAATATTTTTAATTAATTAATTATATGATATTATATAGGTTTATTCACTTGAAAATTTCTCTTTAAACGATCTTTCTTTTTCTTTTTCTCAAGAGCATTGAATTTTTCATTCACCTTTTTTTGACTAATTTTTTAAAATCATTATAATAAAATTGATAATTTTTCTAAAAATTATTAACTCTGTGTTTTTGGTACTATCTTTTTATATATATAAGTAAAAAAAAAAAATACTAATTTTAATCCACAAGGTTAAAGATAAATAAATAAAGTGATAAATTTTTATTAAAAAAATATTGTCACGTTGAGAATAAAAAAAAAAGACATAATAAAATGTATATTTGAAATAAAAAATTCAACTTACGAAGAATGGTTATTAGAATTTAATTCAAACAAGAGACAAATAAGTAATTTTATTATTTCACTAAATTTGTCGTGATTGTATTTAGAAATGCATTAAACCGTTGAATACTTAAAAGTGATAAATTTTATTAAAAAATTATTATCTTAAAAATTAAAAAGTATAATAAATATTATACTTTTAATTTTAAAAAATCAATTTTAGAAGTTTAAATTTCATTTTAAAGTTTAATATAAACAAAGTTATACATTTTAATGCTAATTACTATTGACTCTATTTAGTAAAATTAACTGAAAAGTTATCTGAAAACTTAGAATTTATAATTAGTAAACTAGCTCAAAACTCATAACTTTATAAGTAATTAGCTGAATTAGAATTGTTTGATAAAAATAATGAAAATATATTAAATATTGAAAAATATATAATATTATATTAATATAATCTTATAATTAAATGAAGAAATATTTATAAATTATATTTGATGTAATTTGTTTAAAAATGTAAGGGTAAAAATGAGTTTAAATTATTTTAAACTATAAGCTGAAAGTTAATTTAATAAAATTTTCAAAAGCTAACTTGTAAGGACTATAACCTCGTTTATTATGTGATTACTAATTAACTTTACTAGCATATATATATATATATATATATGTGTGTGTATATATTTGTTTAAATAAAATATGAATTCTTTGTTACCGGGCATATTACCTTTTGTTGAGAACATTGGAATTTTTATTTATATGTTTTTACATAATAATTTTTTTAAGACCTAATATTTTTTTATTTCAAACTCAGATTTTAAACAAAAATTTCATCTTATTTATTATTATGTATTTATATTTAATACGTTCTTAAATTTAAATAGTGTTTAAAACAAATAACTTTTGTGACGTGTATGACTAATTTTCGTATGATAGTCAAAATAAAAGTTTGAGTACAGGCATTGTATAGTCAAAATAAAAATTAAATTTTAAGAATTGCAATATATATATATTATTTCAAAATTTTAATTTTAATATTTTATTCATAATTATGTACTAAAAATAAACACAAATTCCAAAATTTTTCTGATTCTTATATTCTACATTGAAAAACTGAAAGAGTGATGACAATATAGTAATATTTTATTTCACTACATATCTAAATATAATAAATCGATAATATGAAAAGAAAAAATCCTGTAATAATAGAACACAATGTAAAATACTTATAAAAATTATAGAGTACTATTATAATACTAAAAAGTAAAAACTAGAAATATTAACTTTATATTATCAGTGTAACGGTAATGTCATAGAAATTAATTTTATTCCATTTTATATTTATTTTGTAAAAATTAATATCTTCGCAAAAACTTCTTTCCCTTAAAATTGTATATTATTAATTAATTAATTAAATTAATTAAAACTTATTTTAGATATTATTTTTAAATTAATTACTTATTGTAAGAAATGAAAAAGAAACAAGGCTTGAATTCTACGACGGATCTACATGCAACGTTTCACATAAGCGATCGTACCGATACAAATTCCCCACGTGTTGCACAACAACTCGTCCCTCTTCAGATTCACTCCCTCTCTCTTTCTATACCATAGATTTGTTTTTTACTGGCATCGGCTTTATCAGCGAGAAAAAAAAGAACCATTTTCACTCTCTCGCCGTGATTTGACACTTTTAATATTTTCCCATTTGCATGCCATCTCTCTGATTTGATTTCACCCCATTTCACTTCATTCCTTCTTCATCAAATTTCCAATTTAAAAAAGTATTTTTTTAAAAATATTTTATTGGGGTGGTGAGTTTTTGGTCTGCAAATTGGTTGTGGAAAATGAGGTGGGAAAGGGTTGAGTTGAACCCTTACATAGGCACAGAGGGAGAAAGGGTATCTATGTCTGGGCCAGGGAAGAGGTGGGGACACACCTGCAACGCCATCCAAGGTGGCAGATTTCTCTATGTCTTCGGAGGTTACGGCAAAGATAACTGTCAGACCAACCAAGTTCACGTTTTTGACTCTCGTGCGTCCACTCTTGAACTTTTCTTTCTCAATCTTTATTTCCCATTTTCCTTTATGTTATAGAAATTTTTTTTTCTCTTTTTTAGTTCAATTTGTTCTTTTTGAATTTTGTTTCTCTTTTTATAGGTTTGAAACCAATGTGGAGCTGAAATTTTGATGGTTATTTTATTTTGTACTTTTGTGCTTAGGCCAACCTTTTTTTCTTTTTTTTTTTTAGCATTTGTTTTAGTACTCTGGTAGGATAATGCTAATGTGGGTGTTCTTTGTTTTCCGATTCCTCATTTGTGTTGTGCAGTGAAGCAGATTTGGAGCCAACCCGCCATGAAGGGCCTTCCACCTGCTCCTAGGGACAGCCATACTTGTACAGCCATTGGTGATAATCTTTTTGTGTTTGGGGGTACAGATGGGATGAATCCGCTGAGGGACTTGCACATATTAGACACTAGTGAGTCAGCTTTGTGATATCTGTACTGTTCACCTAATTTCTTCACCCTTTTTTCTCTTTAAAAGTCAAAATGTACGTTCTTTAGCTGAAGTTGAATGGTCTATCATGCGGTCCTGTCCTGTACTTTTCTTGGATGAGGACACTGAAAACTACTTCTTTACTCAAAATCTGAGATATTATGGAGCTATGCTTATTTGCGTGTTCTTTATTTCTTTACTATTTGACTCACTGGTGTTAAATCATTTTTAGTTTCAAATACGTGGATTTCTCCAACTATAAGAGGAGAATGGCCAGAGGCACGTGAGGGTCACAGCGCGGCAGCTGTTGGCAAACGGATGTTCATATTTGGTGGTTGTGGAAAATCTGTTGATAATAATAATGAGGTCTACTACAATGATCTTTACATATTAAATACAGGTGATTTTCCCATATCATGCTGCCAGTGGCAGTTATTGATCAAATTAGTTCTCTGCATAAATTATTCCCCTTGATATTTAAATGTGAAGTTGTATATATGATAATGACAAAACTGACTAGGATTTTGTAGTTTGTTGATTATTTTTGAAAGAACATGGTAGAACTTGGTGTAGTCTTACTTTCAGGCTTGCTTGTAGAGGATAATTTCGAAATTGAAGAGCTTTTGTTTGGTTACTCACTGAAAAGTAAGGCTGTTGGTTGTGGGCTATGGTGTACTTAAAGGCTGTTGTTTTTTTGTTTTTATCATTTTAGCTGGTATTCCATTTATTTTTCTCTTACATACATTTGTATTGAAAATTCATTTGTTGCTTTTCATTAATGAATCAGATGTAAAACTTGTTAATAATTCCTTTTCACTCTTTCAATTGTAGAGACATTTGTTTGGAAGTGTGCCACAACATCAGGCAATCCACCATCCCCTCGTGATAGCCACACTTGCTCATCTTGGAAAAACAAAATTATTGTGATAGGCGGTGAAGATGGGCATGATTATTACTTGTCTGACGTTCATATCCTAGATACTGGTATCAATCTATTTCATCTTTTTTTTTTCCCTTTATTTTAATGAATTGTAATGTTGTATTGAAAATACAAATTTACAATTAATAATATCACCTAGAGGGGATTAATTCAGAATATACTAATTTTCTTTGGAACTTCTGTATATATTAGATACCTTAATTTGGAGGGAGCTGAAGACATCAGGCCAATTGTTGCCACCTCGAGCTGGTCATTCCACTGTTTCTTTTGGCAAGAACTTGTTTGTTTTTGGTGGATTTACAGATGCCCAAAATCTCTACAATGACCTTTATATGCTTGATATTGGTATGTTTAGTATAGCTTACAACGATATGTTTTCATGTTCAAGTTTTTGTTCATGTTATACTGTGGTTTAACTGTTTAAGAAAAGCAGAACCTTGTTGTGAGTGTAATTGCTCCTACTTTTATTGCACTTCTTGCCTTCTCAGTTAAGAATTTGTTCCTCATGCGGCAAAGGTGGGTGTGCTGGTGACTGTCTTTTCACAACCTTATTTTCTACACACTTCATTGGCGCAAAATGCTTTTCACATTTTTTTAGCAGATATTTGATCATTTAGATGATGAGAGGTTCACATTTGTTATTTTAACTTTCAAAGAAGGGTTTTGCTCCAACTTTTTCCAAAATCATTACCTTGGTGACTTTTATATAACATGCATGGTAATTTCTAATATTTTAGATAGACATATAGTTAATTTAATTGATCAATTCTTGTTTTCTGTTCTGAAAGTGGTAGCATGATATTTTTATTAATAGCAATTGAGTTGGGATTCCTCATATCTTTCATTTCTGATTGGGTGTAGATACTGGTATTTGGACAAATGTTACAATTGCAGCCAACGGTCCTTCTGCCAGATTTTCTGTAGCTGGTGATTGTTTAGACCCAATTAAGGGTGGTGTTCTTGTGTTTATTGGTGGTTGTAATAAAAGTCTTGAGGCCCTGGATGACATGTATTACCTACATACAGGTTCAACAAAGTGTCTTCTACTATTAAATTTTCTATATTAACCTTTGATTGTGGTATTTTTCTAGATTATTATGCTTGTAATAAATTGTGATATATTTCTGACTTTTAGGGCTTGCTCGGGAAAGTGAACAGAGACCAGAGAAATTATCTTTAAGGAAGCAATTGAAACTGAAATGCCAAGAACAAAATCTCAATCCTAGCCAAAGTCCAGTTCTGGTTAGATATGGAGTGGGTTCTGATACCGGTCAGATGATGACAATGTTGAATTATAGCCAGCCAAGTAAGAATTTGCCTTTATACACAAACTTTCTGGTTCATTGGTATCTTACTTAAAGTCTAATTTTGCCCTTAAAGCTGTACAGTTTTAAGCTTTTAGCCTAGCAACCTTGGTATATTGGATTCAGGAAGTTTCTCAAAAGTACTTTCAGGCTTACATTTAAAGGGGAAATTTGGCTAATTAAGTGGCAGTTAGAGTTGATGTTCTCAGTTGAACTCTGACATTCAATTAGTCAAGTTTGTTTTAGTATTGATCTAGTTCTTGCAACTAGTATATATCAATCTTGGTTATCAATTGTAGTTATGGTGAGTCAGTGTTGACTAGAATAATAATCCCTAAGTTTTGATTTTAATTGTGAGCCTGGAGGACAGAAAGAATTAGAATGATGTTTGACTATGTACATTTTAAAGTATCACTTGGGGCTGAAGCATCCACTATCATAAATGCAGGTAGACTAAATATCCCTCTAAATCAACTGCCTCCTTCTGGAAACAAAATGTTTGAAGCCAAGGTTATTGAAAACGTATCAGAAGGATATACTATTGAAACTGTTATTGATGGAAAGCCTCTTCGTGGATTTCTGTTTTTAAACAAGCCAAACTCTCTGTACTCTGCTGCTTATACTCCCAGTAGGTATGCCTTGTTCAATTCTGCCTCTCGCCAGTCTGGTTCACTCTTCAATGTGTTGCTAGTATTATGCATCTGATTATTTATAAGTTTGTTTTAATGTACACTTAATTCACAAAGCAGGAAAAGGACTGGTGGTGAACATGATAGTGCTAATTCTGACAAATTCAAAACTCCTAAATTGGTCAAGCAAAATCAAATGGAAAATAGAGAAGCAGTTCGTGGAGACTATTCAGAATCTCATGAACAACGCACTGACTCTGTTGCTGCACTTATGTCAAGTACCCCAACAACTGCCAATACTTCTGATACCCATAAGGTGAGTTTGTTGTCTCTACTTCAGTACTTCTGTTAGTTATAGTTCTAGAGGCAGGCCTGAGTAATGATAACCTGACAAGTAATGATCTCTGTTGGTTACACCCGGTAGATATTGGTCAATAGAATTATTTTGAGTAAAAAAGTTGACAGAATGATTCAGTTGATGTTTCTTATTGAAAGGAAGGTGGTCTGAATGTTATGATTCATATTATCAGATGTTTTCATCTTGTTAAATTGCCAGAACTGCTGCAGGCTAGAGTATGTATTGCTTGAGATATTGAGTTTCCACCAAGTTACATTTTTGTGGCAGATACTGTAGATATGCTCCTTTAAAATGTTGCTTTATTTCCTATGCATTTTTATATATTAGCACAATCCTCAGATCCATTTCTGCAATTCTTCCTGAAATATTTCATTTATAGTTTATTTTGGTGAATCCCTATGAACTCTAGTTGATATAATTTGTTTGATATTTTCTGGGATGTCTGTACAATGACTATGTTTTTCCTTTCTTGCCATGGGCATGGGTTAAATTATGCCCAATTTTGTATTTCTTATGATTTTCCTTTGATAATGAGATTGTCAATTTCCAAAGGAGGTTGGGTTAGTTTTACTTTGATCTAAATGTGTATATGGTTTAAATATTACCATCCTGCGTTGTGAATATGAATCTCATCAGAAGATATGGTAGTACAAAAGTTTGTGTTAATAAGTTCTTGTTGATGATGTTCCTTAATAATAGATGTCAAACTAAATTTTTTCCCCTAGGAATGCTAGGGCTGCTCTTTTTTAGAGTTATCTTTATATATACATGACTCTCCTGCAGATTTCTGCCAACCCAGAACCAGAATCTGCTGCTTTGAATCAAAATGATGAAAAAGATGAAACACCAAAATCCTTAGAGCGAAACTTGAAAAATGACGGAGCAAATGATGTGACAAGTCCCAAAGGTGAAGTCCAAACAAATGATCAAACAAATGTGCTAACTTCCAACTTCGAAGTTCCAAGACATGATAAACAAAGTGATGCACCAGACTGCAACACTGAATTTCTAAAATCTGCTGCAGCTGAGAGTGCTACATGTCTGCCAAATCAAGGTATGAAAACAAGGGTGCAGTTAGTGCAATGAGTCTTTTTCATGTGTTAGCATTAAATGGATCTGTTTTTGGTGGTTCAATCATAAACCAAGTCCAACCATCCCCAAAGCTTAAACTGTTAGATCTAACGTGCCAACTCTTGCAAGAGAAACCTTTGGGAATGAAGCTTGGATAATGCCCAGGCTCAAATTCTATTCATTGATAGAAAACAGGGGGGTGGGGGGAGATTGAAGTCTAGTAGGATTTAATTTGAGAACAAGTGGCTTGGTTTTATGTGAAACTGTCAGATTTGAGAGCTGCAATAACAGGCCTGCTTGATCCACTTGGGCTGAGCCATTTTCAGGCAGCTCTGTGGTGGTGGTATGTTTTGGGCGAGCCTGCTATATCTCTCTGTCAATATAATAAATCTAATCTTTACAAAAATATAAACAAATGAGAATTAAGGAATTTGGGCAACTTGGTTTTTAGCCACTGACAAACTAATTAGGGAATTCACTCAATTTTCAATCAGGTTTCAATTCTTCAAATAAAATGATGCTATGGCGTGCATGTTGATTGGTTGTTGGGTTAAAAAGTAGATAATATTTCACGGTTGCAGGCCAACCTGATTTTGGGCTGAGCTAAATTGGGTTGACAAAATTGAACTTGAGTTTTATTTGTCCAGTCCAGCCCACACATTTGGTCAGTATATTTGTGTCAAGCCTTGTCCATTTTGACAGTATTTTGCCTCAACACCCCTTCCGCAGCTGTAAAGTAATTATGGTGCTTCAGAAGATAACCTTTTGCTTCATTTCAATTATTTCTGTTAAAATTTAAAAAAGAAGCCTATAAGTGTCATTGATTAGATATGTTCATGACTGCATCTTTACCTTGTGTCATGATAACATGCATTTAAGGTACGTGTCAATGTCATAATGATATGAAACACAAGTATATCCGATATAATGTGTTTTCAGTTACGATTTCAGAACATAAATGCTAAAAATGGGTACTATAAGAAGGGAAGTGATTAAGGAATGGAAAGGAGGGATTTTTTGTAGGTATTTTCCATTTTATTTTCAACTTTATTTCTTGTTTTTTCTCAATATAAAATGGACCCTAGTTCCCTGGCATGTGATTAATTTTCCAATGAACTGGTAGGTGCAATGGCAGATTCCAACTTCCAAGGACAGGAGAATGCAGTGAACCAGCAAAATTAATTTGAACTCAGGAGATAGTGGTGATGGTGATAGACTTTGTCTGCTAGGCATTTGTACATTCCTCTTCTCAAGATGATCATAGAGGTCACTAGGTCAATATAATTGGTGATATAGACTAACATCGCAGACTGGAGTTGTTATTTGCTCGCTGACACCCTTTGATCTGAAATTTCAGTTGAACAAAGCCATGATTACCTTTAGTGTAGGCAGTGATAGAAGCAGCTTAGTTTGAAACTGAGTCATCTCTTTATTTCCATTCCTATCTTCATTCATTGCAAGGAATGAAAATTTTGTTTTGGTGGTATGAGAGCACCAATATTGTTCCAAATGCCGCTTAGCTTTATTTTTAAATTCTTGGAATTCCTATATAACTTAATCCATCTGGAGTTGATGGTAATGGTACTTTTCAGAGATAAATAGGGCAATAGAAGCTTAAATTGTTTGACACTCGTTTCTTCTTTTTTTTTCCCCTGCTTCTGTGTTCGTGCATACAACAATTCTATTTCCATGTGCTAGCAATTTCATCTTGCACTCATGATTTTCCAAAGTTTGCATTTTTTGAGCCCACAAACTTGATCTGGGGCAAAATATCAAAAGTACGCATTTCCATAGGCAGCAAAACGGTCCCAAGCCCATAAAAATCAAAATTGGAATTGACTCAACTATGAATGAAAAAAACTTAGGTATGTTTGGTGTATTCTCCTTACCCAACTCATTAATTAAACAATGTTAGTTGATATAATTTTCTATCTAATTTCTTCAACTTGGCATGTGCTACAAATACAGACCTAATTTGGATACCTGGCATTTCAATTACCATCTAGATGTTATCTAAATCTTATTGACTTAACCTTTTTTGAGCTTTGATTCAATGTCTAACGTTTGTCGTCAAATATTTCATTGAAGGAACAAAACTAAATCCTATTTAACGGTTGTCATATTATTGTTGTGTAAGCAACCTTATATGACATAATTATCATTTGCAATATTAATTGCACTGTCAAGAAATTGGAAAATGTTAAATACAGTTGAAGAGAAGGCTAACAAAGCATGTCACGGGTACCATATCGATTGTCTTTTATTTCAAACATTCCCTGAAGCTACCTATGATGTCGTTGCGTAGCTTCTACACGAGCCCGATGGTAGCTTACTTTTAAAATCGTATCAACGGTATGTCAAATCAAGAGAAAATTTACAAGAAAGGAAGAAATAAAAATTGCAATTTTGCATTAAAAAAATACATGCACCTCCTTATGTTTTAGTCATTCAATACGTAATGATCCATGATTTTCTATTATTATAAGTCAAATCTTAAGACCGTGTAAGAAAATAAAATATATAAATTATAAATGACAAAATATTTGGTATACATCTTTCTAGGATGTTTATGTCTTAAGAAAGATAAGAATAAAGAAGAGAGTAATGGATGAATAATATGACGTGATAGGAAAAGAAAAATCAATAAAAATGAAGGGTGTCATAGTTGTTATAAATGAACATTGAAAGCAAAATTACATGTTTAAGATATGGTTTGCTTGCAAAAAAAATATAAAAAATAAATATGGACACAATTATCCATCCTATCCAATACTTGCATGTTATTTACAACAAAGATTGGGTCCAATAGTTATGTGTTATTTTGTTAGTTTAGACCGCATGTATATGTTAAATTTAAAATAAATATTAATATTACACGTATTATTTTATATAATTGTGTTATTTTAACTAATATTATATGCAATATTATATATATATATATATAATATTGCAAAATATTTTGTTTGTTATATTTTATAACTAAAATATAAAATAAATTTTTTAACCAAATTTAACCAAAAATTTTAAAAATATATTTTTAATATTCTTTTCAATATATTCCAACTTTTAATAAGCGGCAAGCATGCAATTTCATTAGATAAAATATAAACCAATATTATTTAATAAAACTTACATGAAACCTATTCTGTTAAGAGAGAGAGAGAGAGAGAGAGAGAATGTTAACTAATACTTCAATACTTGTTAAAAAAAAATTATACTACATTCTGGCTTTTAATGTAATTTTATCGAATTTCTAACAAAAAAATTTACATAAATTTCTTAACTGTCCTTAACACAAGAAACATATGGTTATGAACCGCAGAACCAAATTATTTTGACGGTGCTTCTTTATTTGCATAATGGAGTCTCAAACTACTTCCCTTTCATAATTTTTCCTAAGGCTCAACAATGGAAGAAGAAGAAGCCGAACCATGTATTCAGCTGCTGCCACTTTACTTCTAATCAAAAAACCAAAATGAATCATTCGAATTTCCCTTTTATGCTTGGTTTCATGGTTACCCAATCTGTTACACTTTTTGGGAAATATAGGCTCTCACGTCACGATTTTCACACAATTGGATAAACTAATCTTTTGGTTTTGCATATGAGTATTTCCCTAATTGAAGGGCCTACGTAGTAACACACGATGATTATTGGTAGCCGTAGGTGTGTCCTTCCAAAATGTAAGGTGCAATGTGCCAATCAAAGAGCGTTACGAGTAATATATGTTACTTCATAGATGATTGAGATAGGTTAGTTGGTTGGTGCTGCTATTTTGATGGAGCTTGGCACACATGTGAAATCCTTCACTTTATGGATGTGGGGTTCAATTGATAGCCCGAATCATTCATTGTCCCTATATAATCACTATCACTTTCAATTGCTAGACGATAAGTGAAGCAGCCACCGTAGGTACTATACATCAATGCAAAGTTTATGATCTTCATGGCCGCGTGCATATAACATAAACTATTTGCAATGGGATGTATATCATCTATCCATTCTGCAAAATACAGATGTATCATGCCAACTTAGCTAGGCCATTGATCTCCATAATATAAGTTCATGATTTTAATTTTGAATAAATGATTACTTATTTTTACTGTTTTTTAATCTAGCTCCAAATACAATCTGAATCCAAAATATTTATTAGATTCTAATGAGAAAAAATATTAGGACATGTTTGATTTTCTTTTTTTAAAAAATTTATGTTTTTTAGAAGTAAAATATAATACAAATTTATACTATATTTTATTTTTTAAAACAAAAAACTATTCTAAAAAAATCAAACATTCTCTTAATTTCAGCTTTTTAAAACTGATTTAAGTACCCAAAAGTAATAACTTTTTTTTATTAAAAAATTATTTGTCATACTTTTATAATTTTAGAATAGCAAATATGTTTTTTCAATGTAAAATTACTGTTTTTAGATATTTAAACTCAGCCTCATGAGTTACAATTAACAAAACTCAAGAAATAATCATGTTAATTTTATAGAAAATAATTGAATAAGAGCAATTTCAATAAAAGAACACTAGTATGATGAATTATTTTTCTTAATTCCATAAGCAGGCAGAGTTTATTATGAATGATATGATCACAGTAGTTCTTGATCAATATCGATCATGTTTCGTGTATATATGCCATGTTTACTTTTGGTGAAGGGTGTTGCACATATGTCGCGTTAAAGCAAAGTAACCCTTTGGATTTTTCTGACGACAGGACCCATTGGACTCGGGACTCAATGTCCATTCTTTCTTATGCTCAGAATAAGAATAAGTAAAGTGGTGCATAGCAGCAATGGAAAATATGCACGCTATGGAACATACTGAATATATCCAATGCATATTTCATTATTTTGTGTTATCATATGCACGCTATATATGTATGATTGCATGTCTGCATATATAATATGCGGATGCATCATTGACTTGACCTTGTGAAAATGCTTTATTGAGAATTTCCGGTGTTAGTTGTAAATTAATTCGTGATGGCCTCCATGTATGGTGATTCTTTTAATTAATTAATTAATTAACAGTCAATGACAAAATAATTGCATTAAACTCATCATCGATCCATCATATGTGAGATAACTGATAAATATATACAGAAGTACAAAGAAAAACCAATCACTTTATAGCTTGATTGCAATCTAAATTTCTATCAGAATCTCAATAGACCGAAGTTTATCTATTATATAAAAATATAGTGAATGTGAATGTTTGTAACATTTATCAGCTTGACAATGATACTTCCATCAGTTATTGGCTCAATGGCTGTCATCTTGGATTCTCTTTTGATTGTTTAGACTATGATTTATTTAGAGTTAAAATCTGCAATGGGTTTCAGATTTTGGGTGTTTAAATAATCAGTTTAATGGATGTGTTGATCCTACATGAGAAGGGATGTTTCTCATGGTTTATTTATTTTTGAAAAAAATATTTGGCTCAGAAAAAAGAGAGACAAATTGCATCATCTTTCAGGTTGTATGGATTTCTTTCTCCCTTCTCCCTTCTCCCTTTTTAGCTTTTGGAAACTAACACATACTCCACTTGTGTTTTCTCCTCGAGAACTGTTTTCAGCTGGTCAAGATATGCTAAATCATGTAGTAGGTTAAGGAACCAAAACTTTTTGAGCTCTTTCCAAGCAACCGTGTCTGTAAGTGGCAATTATTTTATTATTGAATGATGCAAAAAGTTGTCATTATGTTTTAATTTATTTGATTCGTTGTAATTATAATTGTGACAATGAATGTATTTAATTGTTACAATTTTTTTTTTTAAATTATTATTTTTTAAAATGAGAGAGAGAGAGAGAGAAGTTCACACACGGCACTTGTCATTGTACAAAATTATTATCTATAATAATAAATATATCCATATAAATTGAGAATTTTTCTATAAAGTTTGGCAAAATGCAATTTGGAATGCATCCAGTTCAACCTTTTCAGTACTTTTAAATCAACTCACCTTCCCCCACTCACTCAACTCACTACAGTTTAGAGTTAGACCTATGTACTATTGCATTGCATTAGTGTATGATTGGAAACACATTGAAAATAATTCGAGGGTGACTCCCACGCACAAGTTATAATTAGTAGCGTTAAAGTAAACGTAAATCTACGATCATTTAAACGTGAATCCAATGAAGCAGTTAGTAGCAATCTCACTCTCTATTCTAGCAAATTAGCCATGTCATATCACATGCACATACAGACGCCTCCAGGCCCACACATCTTAACCCCATACATATGGATTTGTGAGATTGAGCCTTGAGGACTATTGACCCAATAGAACATTTCTCACCCTTTTTTGTCTTTAGCTGTGAGAATATATAAATTATAGAATGAAATTCCTGCTCCAGCTCTGAGGTGGTTGCACATTTTGATGATTCTCCATTTCTTCACTAAGGACTAGGGAGAAAGTATTAGCAGAATTCTTCTTGGATCTGCATATATTCATTTGCAGTCTACAATATTGGAAGTAGTTTCGTTTAGGTGGTTCAAGTCTGCTTTTTTTGTGCATATGTTGAGTTTGGCTTTTGTTTTGCTAATTATCATACAAATTGATGCTCAGTTTTTCCTTAATGTGAAACCCAATACTAAAAGAAGGCTATTATATAAGTCGTAGTTGGAAATTTTTGGAATAGCTGTTCTGTCGGCAAAAATTTTCTTTCATATTTTGTAAGGAGACAATTCTATACTAAATGAAATCAGCTGGAAAATATTTAGTATGAAATATTGACAATGGTCTCGTAATTTAGCAATGATGTTGTTTGTTTGCAGCTGAGGATGGAAATTGGAAGTAACTTCTTTCTGGATGCTGCATATGAAACTACATAAATGTGGAAACTTGCTCACCATCCCATTGACTTGTAGTTATCAGGTTCAACTCATCATGAAGTATGGCCTGGACTAAATTTGCGTGTGTAAAGGAAGAGAAAGGAGGTTCATTTACTCATCATTAAACACAAGGGACCCCCTTGAGCTGTCTAAAATCCTGGATTCTATGTTGTATTATTAGAATCTGCAACCTTTCAGAAAGTGTTTGCAGTTTGAGTAGTTGTCTTGCGTTTGTAGATCTGAGTGTAACAAATGATAAAACTTTTATGAAGAGGGAGTAATTGTAATTGATTGTGGTAGTTGAGAAGTTGAGTTTAATTGGAAAAAAAGAGGTAGATATGTCTGCAAAGTTCCTACATTCTTTAGCAGATGATAACCCAAATTTGCAAAAGCAGATAGGATGCATGACTGGGATTTGCCAACTCATTGATCGTCACCATATTATTACTGCTCACCGCGTTAGCCAGAAGAGGCATCCTCCTGGTAATCCTTCACCAGTTACTTGTTCAATTTTAGTAATTTAGTTTATTTGAGCATGCTTTTGATGATAATTTGATTTTTTTTTTAATTTTCTAATTTTTCCCCTCATCAATCTCAGATGTCTTTTTCACTAGAATGTTTGCAAAAGTTGACTAATCACAAGAATACTTATATCTTGTCTTGGTTTCAAGACCTTTTGTCTATGTCGGCCATTTTTCACTTGTCTTTTCGTATGTTTGGAATGTGGGGGTTTGCAATTTTTCATTTTTCAGTTTGCAGGTTTGCTCTGCATTCATGTGGCTAAGGTTCTTGTAATACTTATTTATCAAATCTTGAAGTTCGTTGAATATTTTGTATGTAGCAGTAGATTAGGCCTACTTGAAGAGATATGCTCACGACCTTTGAACCATTTAGTGTCGTTGGTTGTCAGCCATATGTTTCCATTTCATTAGAGTCAATATTCAAATCTAACACTTCTGATTTCTTTATAGATAATTCCCACTTCAATTGTGACAGCCGGGAAAGAGGTTCTAATAGCATACACCATCGACAATCAGCAGCGGTAAGAACATTCCTTTTCACATTTCTCAAATTATCTACTGTTTTACTGTTCAAAATTTCTTTAGTAAAATATTTCAATTTGAGGAATGGAAGTTTTGTTACCAGATCAAAATTTGGGTTATGTATGAGTCAATTGTACTATTTACTAGAGTCTAATGTTAAAGGCGAAGAATCATTTGTTACTTCCTTAAAATTGTTTTCAAGATTTACTATATTCTGTTTATTTCTTCTTCTTAATTCACAGACTTCAATTCTTTTTTTCTTTTTTACCTTGTGATCGCAATGTACTGAAACTACCATCTTGTCTGAACTGCAAGTGTTTGAATGGAACTGAAGTTATGCAACTCTGTGATTTATTTCAGGATATGAGATTAAGCAATAGTGTGAGTGAAAAACAAAGAATTTCAACAGAATCATCAAGACCCTCGTTCTCTTCTTCTTGTTCATCATCAATATCCTCTCTGAGCTACAAAGCTCGGGCTGATGCACCCTTTGAACGAATTGTTTTTCGTGAAACTCCGATGAAGGAGCCAGTTATGAACCAAACAAGTATCTCTCCGCATATAGGATGTCACTCCCTTGACCTGAGGGACGCGGTGAAGGACTCAATGTATAGGGAGGCCAGAGGACTATCCAATGATAAGGATATCTCAAGACCTCTTCAGTTGTCCAAATCTATCAACGGAAAACAAAGTGTGCCTATTGATCTAAAGCAGTCTCTCCAAGTCCTTGCTAAACTTAGAGAAGCACCTTGGCATTATGTTGAATCTAGAGAACTTCCAAGATTATCATATGAAGTCAAAGATCAACATTGGTATTCCATCTCAAAGGATGCTCCTAGATTTTCATATGATGGAAGAGAAACTAGTGGTATATCTTTTGAATCACATGATTCTACCAAATGCCCACCAAAGCTAAAAGAGCTTCCTAGACTTTCTCTGGACAGTAGGGAAGGTGCTTGGCGCGCACACAGCTCTAATTCAAAACCCACTAACCTCTCAAGAAATTTCAATACAAGTGGTGCTTCCAACTCATTTGACAACATTTCTAGTCAACAACAGCCTTCAGCAACCCGAAGCCGGCCACCTAGTGTTGTAGCAAAATTGATGGGCTTGGAACCATTGCCAGAATCATATTTGGCCAGTGATACTAAGTCAAGTTTGAGTGAAACTGGCTCAACTCAAGGAAATGATCAGTGTTCAAAAGATGGACTCATCATGCCGCTTCGAGTTTCTGATTCTGCTAAAAGCTCAGTGAAAGACCCAACTTCTCCGCGTTGGAAGAATCATGATTTGGTTGTGAAACCAATCTCAAGTTCAAGGCTTCCTGTTGAACCAGCACCATGGAAACTGCAGGATGGAAACCAAAGCTCTCAGAAACAAACTTCCAGGACCATAAAAGCTACAACAATAACACCAGAAGATTCATTTCCTTCAGTTTATAGTGATATTGAGAAGAGATTGAGTGATCTTGAATTTAAACAATCAAGAAGGGATCTCAGAGCACTCAAACAGATACTGGAAGCAATGCAAGTAAAAGGGCTGCTAGAGGCCAGAAAAGAAGAACAAACTTCAAATGTTGATGGAAATAAAAGATACAATGAACCAAAACCGACTCTAATTCATGATTCGGTGTCAGTAAGGCAACAAATAATCAGAGGATCTGACTCAGCAAAGACTTTAGAATCGCCAATTGTGATCATGAAACCAGAAAAACATACTGAGAAAACTGGAATTTCTGCTTCTTCAATCTTTCAAATTGAAGGACATTCTGATTCCCATACACTTCAGAGTAGTGGTGTGCATGCACATGATAAAAAGAGGACAGTTTTCGGTCGAATAGAAAAAGATCAGTCTCTTAGAAGTAGTCACAAGGACTCTCCTACCAATTTTAGTGAAAAGAAAGCAAGTAGTAGCAAGTGCAAGGCTATAAAATCAGCGCAATCTCAACCAAGGTCGGAAAAGAACTCAGGATCAGTGAGCCCAAGAAAATCTCGGCTTAATACACCACCATCAGATTTAAATAAATCCAGAAAGCAATCCTGTAAGCAGACAACAGAATCAGGTTCTCCCGGTCGAAAACTGAGACGTAAAGTCCCTAGTTCACAATACATTGATGACCAACTTAGTGAGACTAGCAATGAATTGAGAAGTTTAAGTTGCCAGTGGGATGAAATGTCTCTTCAATCAGATAGTATTACAGTTGACTCGAAGATGGATATTGAAGACACCAGCAATTCACAATCTGCTGAAATTATTGATTGCCAGAACCCGTCTATGAAGGCTATTGAGCATTTGGTTTCAGGATCAATGCAGAAGGTAAGGACTGTGATGATCTCTTTTGATTCAAGCTTTCTGATTAAAGCTTATGAGGAAATTGAAAATGTTGGTAGTAACATATTCCAATTATATGTTGATATTATTTTACTTAATTTTTCAGAAATCAACTCGGAGGTGGGATGAGGATGAGTCAATTGTAGAACTTGCAACAGATGCCCCTGATCATCCAAGCCCGGTTTCAGTTCTTGATGCCTCAGTGTACAAATATGATATGCCGTCCCCAGTAAGGCTTATATCCAATGCTCATAAAGGTAATGTTTTTCTTCCAAACAAGGATAAAAAAAAATTGAGAGCCAGATTATCTGTGATGACTATACTTCGTATTGAGTGCAATAAAATAAGACAAATTATTGGTTGAGTTTGACTAAATATTCAGCATCAAGATTGATTACAGCTTTAAGTATAAAGAACTCTTGGTCCTATTCTATTTGAAATGGTTCCACGTGTAAGAGATTGAAAATCCTTTTTATGAGGGGCTGAGAATAACTTGAGGGTTGATCATGCTTATATTGTACTAACACTTCAAAATAAATGTCAGATTTGTCACATAGATCATGATGATGCTTAACTATGCTCCTTTTAGCCGCTGAATTTCTGTTTTGTAGCCAGCCTTATTAAGTAACGTTCAAGTCTGCATGACCAAAATTAGGCAATTGTGATAAGCATAACATTTAAGGTACCATGTTGGGCTTCATATATTCTTCCTTGCATAAACTGTATCATTTTGAAAATTTAGCAGCAAGCACTGACTAAAGACGGAAAATTTAATTCGTGTTTTTCACCTGTAATAGTCCAAAATAATGTGTAAGTTTTTATTTATTTCATTACACTACTTAACTATAAACTCAAATGCTGCAGCTGGTGATGCTCAAGAATCTAAAGAAAATGAGCATACAGATCAGTGGAACCGTGCAGATGGCTTCTTAGTTAACCACACAGGAAATGGAGAGATCAACCGCGAGAAATTGCAAAGCATAGATCGCCTTGTTCAAAAGCTCAGACAGCTAAACTCAAGTCATGATGAAACTAGAATCGATTACATAGCTTCCCTTTGTGAAAATACAAATCCAGACCACAGATACATCTCTGAAATACTATTAGTTTCAGGTCTATTACTGAGAGATCTGAGTTCTGAATTGCTGACATTTCAACATCACTCATCAGGTTATCCCATTAACCCTGAGTTATTCCTAGTGTTGGAGCAAACCAAGTTAAGTACTTTGCTTTCAAAAGAAGAAAAAGTTGCTTACATGAAGCTAAATATAAAGAAGTTTCACAGGAAACTCATCTTTGATACTGTGAATGAGATTCTTGGTGTAAAATTAGGCTCTTCTCTTGACCCATGGATGAGGCATAAACGGACAAAGAAAATCCTCAGTGCACAAAAGCTGCTTAAAGAACTTTGCTTTGAGATAGAAAAACTTCAATCTAAGAAGCTAGAATGTAGTTTAGAAGATGAAGGGGATGGACTAAAAAGTATGCTGTGGGAAGATGTGATGCCTCACTCAGAAATGTGGACAAATTTCCATGGTGAAATACCTGGGTTTGTGTTGGATGTTGAGAGAATGATATTTAGGGACTTAGTTGATGAGATTGTGATCGGTGAAGCAGCTTGTTTGAGAGTGAAGTTGGGTAGGCGCCACAAGCTATTTGGAAAGTAGTTCAATCCTTTTGTTACCTTTTTCGCTAATCTAGAATCCATCAATTTATTGTCATTTACGTATAATTTTTTTGTATCAAGCCATATTAGTTTGCAGATTGAGTGCTTTGATTACTTTTGCTAAGTTGTGAAGCAAGTAGCTTTTCAGATTTATATCATAAAAATTCTTAAAACTTCATTGTGTAACATCTGTGTGACTTTGTCTCTTGATATTGTGTTTGTCATCTTGAAGGCTACCAACTTCATTGCCTTGCAGGTATTAGATGCTGCACTCCTCAATGAAAGTGGAGAAAACAACTGGGAAATGCCATGCATGTTCTCTTGAAAGATTTCATATTCTAGACCAACAAAAGGGCCTAAAGTCCTTGTCCCTTTAAAAATAAAATATGGTACACTCGTGTAAAAGCATTGGTAAACCAAATTCTACTACTCACTTTAGTAGTCACCTTCAATAATCCATAGTCATCAATCTGAAGGCATTAGCCCAGAATGTGGCTATAGAACCAACTTCACTGAAAGTTGCGCTAGCTAGATGAAACTTCCGAGAACTAATGTTGTAGGGACTTCTTGGAGTTGAAAAAGATAAAATTAATTTTAAAAATTAAAAAACATATATAGTAAGTTGGGTATGAGAGAATACGTCCCAACTCCTACGTCCTACAACACGTACGAATACAAATCAATGTGTTTACATTTTATTAAATGAATATTAAATTTAAAAAATTAAAATAAGAAGTTTGGTGCAAATTCGGCATAATTTAGATATGGCCAGCTTTGGCCAAGAATTCACGCATGAGAAAGAATCATTTCAATTGGTATTATAATAAATGTATCAAAACCTTAACAGCCTGCCTCCGTAGCATAGTGGTAGTGCGTTCGCTTCGTAAGCGAAAGGTCGCGAGTTCGATCCTCGCCGGGGGCTTTTATCGTTTTCTATTTCGAGTATCCAATTTCATGGGACATATTAAGCTTCTGTTTTTTTTTTTGTTGTTGTTGGGTATAATGAAGCCTAAACGTGAAGAGGATGGTGAATGGATTGGGCTCCTTGCACAGCCCAAAAAAGAAGAATTGAATTCATGAGTGAGTCGCTGGTCTTTTCTATGATAATACAATTGGAAATGTAAAAGGTTGTTTACATTTTTCTATTTCTGAAATTTGAGGGAACAAAAGAAAGAAGTGAAGGGTAGCCAATTACCCAAAGTGGTCCCTTATCCAATGGGCACCATAATGAATAGATAGGACCACAGGACCTCTAAATTTTGTTTGTAGGCAAGGCATCGACGTACACTTCTGCACGCCTACAAAGCGCATGCAAAACTTACCTACAAAAGTGCCACAGATATTTATTCTTATCTGTTCTTCTTTCCATGGTTTATTAGAACTCCTATATATGGATTATGGTCAATGCATTATATGCATTATAAAACATTTCTTTGTCTTTATATGTGATTTTATATTATCATTATGAATTGATGTTACTATTATGGACTTTTTTCTCACAAAGGGTTTATGACAGAATGAGAGGTGGACCGTACCCGTTGATAGATAGCCTTGAAAAAGAAACAAATACCTATTGTAGTTTCTTTTATGATATCGTAAAATTAGTATTTTATAATTGTTATTAGTACATGATAAAAGGATTACTTATTTACCTCTATAAAAATTGCATAATTTAGATTAAGTTCAAGTTCGTATAATTTTTTTATTAGAATATAATTTTTACTTTTTTTTTGCAAATTATATATTATTTTCAGTCCTTTTAATTAACATGGTCCATTAATTAAGATACTGTCGAGTGTTAAATTTTTGTTATATTATATTAATTAGAGATACTACAAATAATAGTTCATAAAAAAAATAAAACCAAGTCTTAACAAAATATTTTATAGAAATTAAATTTATATTATATAACTTATCAAAATACTTATTTAGACCTTAAATTAAATTTTCAATAATTAACTTTTATATTATAAAAAAATTATCTAAAAAGTAAAATATTTAATAAAATTATTCCTTTTATAATTTTTTACGTACATTTTTTAAAGTTAAAATTGTCTAACGATGTATCACCTCAAAAAATGTGAACTTTCTTCAGTTATGTCATGCTAGCTTGTATCATAAGGCTTTGCTACAGTAACTTAATTGTATCACCTGCATCTAAGCCTATATAACCAAACTGACTTCATTATGTGAGATTTATATATTTTATTCTCAGCTAATAAAAACAGTAACTTGAGTATTAAAATATTTTTATAGGTCTCTCACCTACTAATGTGGTAGTAACTCATTTTTAGATTTCTTAATTTTTTTTATCTTTTTAATTTATCTTTATTAAATATAATAGAATATTTATTTTTAATAAAAATATGTATTTTAATTTATAAAGTTTATATTTTATATTTTAATTTAACATACTGACAAAATAAATTTAACCCATCTCATTTATTTTATCAATCTCACTTTTTTTTTTTGTATAAGGCTTTGAGAACACTTCAAAATATTTATGAATATATGATGATCAAACTTTGCTGACCCACTCTTAAATGGGCAGGGTAATATTTTTACGATTTTTTTTATTTTAATTTTTAGGACCAAATTTAAACATCTATAAATAAAAGTAATAATAATAAAGTATATATTTATTATATGGTTTAATTAAGTGTTTAGTCTCTATAAAAGTTATATAATTTATATTTAACTTCTATAAATTTTTTGTTAAAATATAATTTTTAATTTTTTACAAAATATTTTTTTTAGTCCTTTTAAGTAACTGATATATTGAAATATTACTAGTAGTAATATTTTAATCTTTTAATAAAACTGTTAGCAAGTGATATAGACGTACACCTTTTTTAGAAAAAATATTATTTATTTTTATAAAAGAATAAATTAAAAGATCCAAATTTCATATAATAAAATTTACCTGAATTTTAACTTTCAATAATAAAAAAATAAAAAAGAGAAAATTTGAATTAGTATCAGTCAAATGATCACAATATGAATTAAGTCGAGGGTAATGCGACACACCAAACTCCACTGACACTGCTAACCACTGTAAGAAAATTAAATCATATCTATAAATGTAACTGTCTCGTCTTAATTGTTTTCCAATTTCCTTTCTTAGTTTTAAAACCTTAGAATGTGGACCACTGGCGTATAAAACTTTTGGTGTTTTTCTTTGATACCACCTTTAAAAACCCAACTTGCAGCAACTTTAATTTATCTTGGATCTTGTGATATATTATTGTCTACAGGCAGCAGAGACTGCTTTCAAATTCAGTCTCTGCTTGTGATTTTACGTTGCTTCCTTTTCATGGTCAGAATAACTGTAGATTCTAAAACATTTTCTCACTTTTTCACTTTGTGTAGAAGGATATGCTTCTATCAGTTCCATGCCCTTCATCAATATGCTGTTAAAGAGGGTACAAAGATGAAGATAGATTGGGTTTATGCTTATTTCGAACTATATAATACAAGAGATATAGAGGGAGATCTTTGGGTTGTAGCCATTATTCATGATCTTTTTCTAATATTTTAGAGCTAATTCTAGATGTTTTACTGCTGATTAATATTTAATTTGAAGAGGGCTGTGTGTGGTTGCATTAATTCCATTAGCCTCTGTTCATTGTCTTTACTCTTATCACGTTGGATCGCGCGGCATGCATTGCTAGTTGCATGCATGAGAGAGAAATTATCCAGGAACTCATTTAACAAAGGCTCCAAAAGTTGTTTGTCAATGAATATTGCGTATAATTTCGTCATATATTTGTCAAATTTAAATTTGTTCCCCTCATATTTATCAATTATTAAACATTTAGTACGCAGAAAGTTGTGGTTTGAGGATCACAACTTATGCTGGCAAAAGTAGCCTCTTTACTTGCAATGACAGCACTACTTAATTACAGTTTTCCACGTAAGAATTTCATGTCCTTCATCAATTTTTCAGTTTTAGTTGAATACTTAGTTGGACTTTAATTTGAAACCCTATTAAAATATGAGATTTTAGAAAAATGTTTAATATTTGATGGTACTTTTTATATCTTGAATATATATATAATAGTATTAATTTCGAATGATTCAAATAACAGATTAAAAAAGAGCTATACATATACACTATATCATGACTTACAATGGCATTCTTTATGAAATTTGCGACAGTTCACGATGCATCTTTCCTAAATGCACGTTAATTATAATGCAAACCAGCAATATAAACGGCATGAAATTTCTATATAATTAATGATACTGCATGTAATTTCCAAACGCATGTTAGTTACGATAGCCTATATATACTGAATGAAACTTCTATATTTTTCAGTGATTTCCAAGTATAGTGTTGGAGAATGCCTTGGCCTCTCCTTTTATCTTTTTCAGAAAAGAAATTTACTTGTCTTGCATTCTTCCTGTAACTCGACGCGCCAGTGCTTTCAAAATTGTAACTCCAAACAAGACTTTTTCAATTATTTTATGTTTAATTACACTTTAATTTCTATACTTTAATTTACAAAAAAAATAATTCTTCTAATTTTATTTATTTATATTGAATTTCTCTAATTTTTTTAATTGTTGAAATTAAGTCCTTCACTTAACAGAAAAAAAATTTGCAATAAAGTTTTTTTTTTATAATTGCTTTTCGTTTCTACCATGTGATAGTAAAGAAATGGAAACCAAGCATCCAGGGACCAAGAACAGATTTATAACAAAACAACAGACCTACCATTTCACATATTTGCGAGACAAAACCATAATATATAATATATGCATCTGTGGTTAGTTAAACTTGTCATACTCGATCAGCAGAATGATGTTTTCAAGGTATATTACCTTCAGAACACAAAATTTTGACTTCATGTTACCTCTAACAATGTCAGAAGTCACAGTTTGTCTAACAACAGAAACCAATTCGCATTGTGTTTCTCTATGTAATGCAACTGACGAAATTAAACGCTGGCCCGAAATAAATACACACATATATAGACATAACTACTTACTATTAGCCTCTGCATTATTCAGATCTCAATCGTATCATTATTCATGTCCTTGGTATTGGTCTTGACTTGAACGTGACATTCTCAAAATTAAATAACACTTAATTCTAGTAAAGCTTAACCAACGCTCAGTCAAACTGCTTATTTGGACTCTTGTGCAATATATGCATGCATTATTATTCATGTCTTGGGATTGATTTTCCCGTGTCATTAGAACATCTCCTTGGTCAAATCGTACCAGAAAGCAATACATACTAGGAAAGTTCAAAACAACGTTAAGTAGTACTAAATAAAATAAAAGAAGTACGCTCAACCAGTCATGTGGAATCATTTGGAAAATTTTGATAATAAGAGCGATGCTACTATTAGCTATAAACATGAGTGAGAAGTGAGAGGACTGCAGGTATATATGTAGGAGAGTACTACCAAGTTAAAGCAACAACACATACTTGTATATGTTAGCTGTGAGCTACATTAATTGCATATTATTGTATTATTTTCAAGCTACATTATGCGTTGTATACAGTGGCCATAATGAAATTTTAGCTTATTGTAGGCTGTGAAAAATAATCCCAACCGTCATGCGCGCATATATACTACTACAAACTAGACACACAAAAAGATTCTACTTTATAATATTATGAGACTACCTTTTAGATAAGAGAGTTTTATGATTAAAGTTGAAATTCTTATTTTACTTAATATAAAATTTATAGTATTGTCATCCTTTATAAAAAGCTGACATACACATGATAGTTTAATTAGTAGTAACTTTTTTTGTGGTTTTTCACGAATTCAATACATTACATTTTAATCAAATATATAAGTAGTCTTTTTCTTTAACTTAGTACTCAATGAAAATACTAATTATTATAATTTTTTAAGAACATAGAGAGTCTAACTCAAATATATGCATTAATTAAGAAAAACTCATAACTCTTTACAATATTTAATTTCTTATTCTACACACACTTTAAGAGTGAATTTTGAATTAACTTACTTTGATAAACATTTTTTATAGTTTCGTGGGATAGTTTTTTTTTTTTTTTAATGATTATTACAATTAAACTGTGTAGAAACTTAGGCTAAATTGATTATATATGTGTAGATAAGTGTCATGAACTAAAAAGTTATAACTAGTAGATTAAGAAATGGTTTTATATTACACTTCGAACACTCCCCTTCACACTAGCACTATTTGGACTTTGAAGGGCAGATATTAGAAGCCTACATCTGATGGTAAAGATAGAACTTTAAACCATTTGGTTATAAATACTCTAATATTATATCATGAATACTAATTATCTTAAAAAAATCAAACTATTAGATAAAAACACGTGATTATAATTTTATATTTATTAAATCTATAAAAATAAACACGACATAACTTATGAATGTTTTTATTATACCTCGTACTCATAATGGTTAGTCAACAAGGTATTGCAACCACAGGGATTAATTCAAACATTAGTATAGTAATTGTATAGCATTGCCATACTTACAAAGGTAAATCACCTTCACGGCTGAGTGTGGAAATTTTAAACTATGTGCTTTAGCGTCTTGATTGATTGATATGAAGAAAACCACCGATGAAGCGTTTGCATGATGAGGAGCTTCAAGAACGAGTACTACCCTTACCTGGTGGGCTACGATTATTAGTATCAGAATCAAGAAGCTTGGAACTAAACGGTGTTGGAAGGAGTCTTAGAGGTGAATTGATTGAATGAAGAGATTGAATGAGAGGATGAGGCATCATGATTTGGGAACTTGAGTTCGAGATCTGAATATTATTGTTGGACTGTCTTGGATCACTTTCCACTGAGTAAAAAGCCGATGGTGTAGCAGATGGTGGGCAAAAAAGTAACTGGGAACCAGATGGTACAGACAAGCTAGAAGATGAAAATTGCACACCACTGCCACTGTTTGGATAAGAAGGAAATAATCCATGGCTTCCAAATTGGGATAAAGATAGAGTTGAAGGCTCTGAATGGTGGTAGGAGTTATATGTCATGGCATTGTTTAACAAACCAGGTAAAGAAGAGTTAGTTCCAATGGGGAAGAACCTCTGTGCTGACTCTTCTCTATTATGAGTACCGGCACCAACTCCATCTTGATTTTCTTGTTCATTTGTTTTGATCCAGCACTTTCCTCTTTGGGAGATGGACGCACTTTCAGCTAATTCCTTGCCTTTTAGTGAATCAATATCCCAATACTTTGCCATGTGGTTTTGATTTCCCCCATCCTTTATAAATGTGGAATTTGCAGCATCATAGAAGCCTCCAAGAGAAAACTGATGAGATGTACCTGGCAATAGGTTTTGCTGATGAAATTGAGCAAAATAATGAGGAATTTGAAGTGGTGGAAGCTTATCAATATCAGATTTGGTGGCTTCAAGCAACCAATCTACCACCTTGCTAGGTTGGTTGAGTCCAAGCCTATCTTGAAGATCATATAACTGAATTGCTGTGGGTACAGACAACCTAATCCTCCTGTCCCTAAGTCCCCTAATGGTGCAAACCTTGCTGTGCCTATCTTTTCCTCCCATAGAACGTGAGACACGCACAATTCTTGGATTTCTGAACGCTGACCATTGTCTTGAGGTCGAGGGTGCCTTGGATAACTTCTCAATTTTAATGAATTCACCCTCTTGTTGTTGGTTCCCTTCATAACCTCTACTTGAACTTTCAATCATCTTCTTAGCTATAATCTCATTGTTGCCTTCTTCATATCATCCTATAAAACCTTTTCTCCTTCACTGCAAGCAACCCGATCTGATAAACAATGAAACGAAAAAGAAGTTACCTGAAAATTTTGTCTCATTATTATACTTCTTTTTAGTATTTTTTTTAAAAATAATTATGGCTAAAATTATAAATTAACTTCTATATATATATAAGAATCGTTCCACAAAGAACAGATTCATAAATTAGAGAGTTAAAATTAGTAAGGGTCGGATCAGAAATTAAGAAACAGGAGTAGAAGTTCTACGCCGAAATCGGTTATATTGCCGGAAAATTAGGGCAAAGAGGGTTCTACTCATTCAATTGATAGTAATGAAACCGAATCGAAGCTAGAAGAATGAGTTTGGTCGGAAATTGTGTACATAATTAAGATTTTACTGAAAAGATCAGTAGAAGCATGAGCATACAAGGTTGATGGTAGTAGTTAAAGGATCAATTACTTACGTGAGAGAGGAAAGTGTGGCGACTGTTATTCTAAGGTTTTGAACATAGCCATGAAAGAGAGAAGAAATGGAGGAGGCAGAAGAAGAAGAATCTCCGTACAAGTCTTTCCAAAATGAACTCTTCAATGTTTAGTTGAGTAGATATGACCTCAAGTTTCGACTTCAACCTTTTTCCTGCAAAGGAATAATGTAACATATAATTGAGAATTTTTGTAAGGAAAGGTTGGAATTTTACCTCATCATGTTGCGTGTAAATTAAAGTCAAATACTAATAATAATTTTACTTAAGACCATGCGGCATCCTTGTCAAGGGGCACGTCCATTAACCAAACTGCCATTACTGATGACATCCTCAATTTGTTTATACCACATACTGAACAATCAAACTAACAATATCAATGATTATTATTAACTTTTACAATTATAATTATAATTATAATTAAATTCTTAATTTAGTCATTTAAAATTAAGATGCCATCACATTAGTTTTAGAATTTTTATTTTTAGTTCTGAATTAATCTCTGAAATATTAATGTATGATTAAATTAGTTCTTAAATACTTTTACAAATAAATTGCTCCTTAAAAAATACAAATTAAAAATCAAATCTATATTTTTATGTCAGTATCATATTTTATTTTCAAATGTATGTATGTATGTATGGTAAAATTTTATATTTTAAAAATTATTTTGATGAATAAAATAGTTAAAGAATTGATTTTTTATAAGATATTAATAATTATATGATTAATTTAATAATGAAAATATAAAAAATAATGTAATAATACATTAGATTTTAAACAACTAAAATTGAGATTTTGTTTTATAATAATTAATTACCCTTTTTACTAGACAAATTGAGCCAAACTAAAAATGAGGAAATAGAATACCTTTATTATATTCGTAACTTGAGACATTATTTTGAAGAAGAAAAAAATAAAGCATTTTAATAAAAAAAAAATACACAGACCATAATAAAAATATTGAAAATGTTTAATAAATTTTCTAATTTACTTTAGATTATTGAATCTTTCTTTGAAATTTATGTTATTTAATTAGTATAAATATTTTACTTACTACATTTAAATTTTTTACATGAATACAAAATAATACCTAATATTATCTTAAATTTTTATGTAAACAATAACTATGAACAAACTTTATTTTCTCTCCATCGACATATAAAACAGAACATAAATCGTATTATATATGGAATAAAACCTTTTTTCCTTTATTAAAATTAAAAGATACATATCAACCAAAAAAATATTTGTTAAGGGATGCTAATTAGTTGTTATTTTCTTCTTTTATTGTTTTTTTTTAAAAAAATTTACATGTCATTTTTTCAATTTTGGGAGAAAGATGAGGTAGACATGTAAAGAAAACAAGTGATTTGAATTATATTGAAATCGCATGTTCTTGTTTTTAATCCTCGTCCTTATCCTCAACCAATTAAAAAAGGTTTTTGTTTAAAATGTAACACACTCTTTTAATAGTTGATTAATTATTTATGTTATTCTTTTTTAATGGAGAAAATGTGATATAAATAGAAAGCGATTATTTAATTCCATTATACATATAGGAAGAAATAACTTAAAAACAGGATTGTTCCAGTTATGCTTTCACAATAATATTATATATTGTATCTGTTTTCAGAGAAAATTTTTAGAATTATTCATATATCCAATATTGTTAATTCATGATCATAACCCTAGGATTTGCATCCAACTTCAAAAAGCTATATATAATGTAGGTAAGTTAGCCAATATTACAAATGTGATGTGTATATATTGTGGAAGATATTCATCTAGGTAAGTTATAATCGTTTCGTTTGATTTGATTTTTGTTCTTGTTTTCAATTGATATATTTTTGTGTAAAATACAAAAAATGATACATTGATTTTACTCTATTTTCAATGTCTTGAAGAAAATGGTGAAAATGTTTTGCTAACTAATTTCACATTTTTAAATAAATTCTTAAAAATAAGAAACAAAATAAAATAACGTAATATTTTAAATTACCAACAAAGTTATATCAACTGTAACTAAAAACAAAAAATAAACTAACAGATAAGCTTTCAGAAGCTGTGATGTATGCTGTTGGAGTCTGATAGCTAGCTGCGCTATAGATGAGGGACCAACTTAGGTTCTTAAAAGCATCCATTCAACTTATAGCTGGAAAAATAGAGGGACCACAAGCAGATGGCAGTGAGATTTGCACACAGCACAATTTGGAGTCTGTACATGAATCACGCTAGCTGTAACAATTAGATTTCATTAGCTATCTAATTGTACATTGTTTCAATATTAAGATGCATATACTTCTCCTAAAACATTTATATATATATATATATATATGCTAATAACTCAACCTGTGTACACTACAAGATTTCTTCTAATTACTAATCCAATTAATTAGTTTCCTTTCACCGCTGTGAACTTGAGTAATGTTGGCCTTGAAGCTCAGAACTACATATATATATATACACACACACATAATCTGGCATACTATACCTAAACCGTTTTCTGATTAAATTGTTGTCTTGTGTATATCTTTATATAAAAGAATAGTTGCCTGCCGATCAAGGAAAAGATGGGGAAAAGACAACATGCTGTTATTGCTTACTTGAGAGAATATTGAAATTTACTCTTAAAAAACACACAAGAGCATATGTTTCAAGAGAACACCTGTCTAGTATAAATGCCACAAGAAGAAGTAAAGAGCCCTAGCTAGCTAATTAATCTTCTTTTTTGATGCGGGTACCAAACAGTATATCTAGAAAATAGGGATCTTCACCGATCGAAATAATTGAGACATTCATCATCGAGACAGTGTAACTGCAACTGTGTCATTGTTTACTGGTCTCAAAAGCTGAACCAACTTTGTGTAGTTCTAAACTCAAACCTCTAGCTAAGTTGGCTTATAACCTTGTCAACTGAACTCCGTAAGTTTCAAGTTTCAACAATAGTTAAGGTGAAAATTCACTCTGCATTCAATGCTTACCTGGAGATTTAGTTTTAGAATCACACTTTGAACAATTAAGAAATCATAACCATGATATAGTATTATGATATGGCATAAGAAACCCTAAATTTTAATTCAGCGAACCCATAATCAAATGGAGAACTTTATCATTTGAGATAAATATGGTTAGTTGGAAGTATTCATTTTTCGTTTATAGAAATTGAAAATGATGAATTTGAAGTACTCTTTTTCGATTTGTTTCTCTTTCTCAAAGGCTTTTTTTTTTTTTTTTTTTTATGTGCCCAATATTATCGTTCTATCTGCAAGCTATTGCAGAAAAAGTAATGAATTGAACTTAACAAAAAAATAGGAGTTTATCAAATTAATATATGATGATGACAACATACTTATTTACCCTTAATTGCCCTAAACCTCTGATAAATCTGCCCTCTCTTCAATTACTTCGCACGACCCCTTACAATTGGATTCGATTCAAACGATACCCCACAAATATATATTTGCAAGGATATTTAACTCGGTATAAAGTGGAAGACGAAGAAGTAGGTATTCATCATTGAGCTAGATTCATGAAAACTTTATATTCTTGTTTTACTTAAAAACACAACAATAGTAGCGTTATTTGTGGATTGATAAGTCTCACTTAATCCAGCATAGGAGCTGGTAAGAAACTTAAGAAATCTCGAATAGTGCATTAAGGTATACAATTCTTTGATCAATTTGATTACACCATAACGAAGCTATTTTGAGGCAAGAGAGTGTTGACATCAGAATTATGTGTACGAGGGATGGAGTACTCTGCAAATAATTTTTTTTTATATAAAAAAAGACTTAAAAGCATTTATAAAAAAATTAATTAAATGCACCGACAATAAAATATTTTTTATACTCTCATTCAATCATAAATTGTTACATGAGTGATAATTATTAACTTCTATAATATTAATTTAAAATTCATATTTGTAGTATTTTTTATAGATTAATGGTGTAAAGAATTTTATATTAATGACGCGCTAAAATTAAATTTAAAAAAAAATATTTTCCTAATTTTTTATGATTGTGTAAATATTTATTTTGTTTTATCAAATTACAATAAAGTTTAAGAGTCAAGCAAGTAATTAATAATTAATAAACATTTGACAAAGCTCTCACGTTAGGACAGTAGCTCCTTAAAATTTATATAGTATTAGTAGGCCAGCTATATGAGTAACTTTTTTTATGAAATTAGAAAAACATATCATTTATCAACGATAAAAATGTTAAACATTAAACTAGAGTTTAAATTATTAATAACAAAGTTTATATTAACGGTATGATATGTTGAATTAATATTTGATATACTAATAGTATATATTAAGTTTCTATGCTAATAGAGTTGTCTGTTAATATATTGTATCATATTGTTAATGTAAATTCATAATATTATTAACAAAAGTTATATTAACAAAGCTTAATCCAATATATACAAATCATTATTAAATGAACTTTTTTTTGTGATAAATCTTTAATATTCAAAATTCTCATAAAGGATTAACTCGTTTAAGTTGTGCATATTTGAGTGAATAAATTTTTCTTAATACCTATATTAACTATTCATGATATTCAAATTCAAGATTTTTCGGTAAGAAATAAACTTTTTACCATTTAAATCGACAGACGCTGAGAAAATATCTGACCACCTACTTAGATAAAAATTGCATCTTGAACTTTATAGCTCGTATATTAGAGCATTTATGTAAGAAATAAAATATATTTTTTATTTTGAACTAATTCATTGTTTTAAGCCCTTAAAAAGGTTTTGAATGGAATTGACATTTAGTAGACATACATCTTGACTACCCTTCCATGCTAACTTTCAAAACTACTAGTTCCTGTACATCTATCTATATATGACAATGTTTGGCAACCTGGGTAGTTGATCAAAAGATGTATCTCAACATATACAAATTAATTAATGCATACTTTAAATGTTGCAGAGGAAATAGAAAGGCAATTTTTCCTTAATATATATTTCTTTCTTTCACCTTGCAGCTGAGACCACCGTTGTATCACCATCAACACTGTCCACTGAGTAGTAGTGAATAACTCTCTCATGAATGAATATATACTATCACCATCAAGGACTGTGAGATCTCTGCTATATTACAACATGATATGGCACAGTTAATTAATGTGCGTTCAGAGAGATGAATATATAATTTAAGAGGTTTTGTATGAGTGACAAATTCCCATTGTCGGTTGGGGAGAGGAATCTATATATCTATGTATGTATATAAATATATATGCACGATATATGTATATATGAAGGAAGGTTGCACAGAATAGTTAAATTAAGGTGTGATGTATATACTATATAGTGATGAAAGACATGATATGAGATCATTAAATCTGACTATAAATCCTCTTAAATTTTATATAAATACGAATTTTCCGGGTTCTTTGTATTTGCTGCCCAAGCAGTTATTGCACTGTTCCACAAAACTGCAAAAGCAACAGCGAGAAAAATAGACAGAACAGGAACATGATGCCAAGATGAAAAGAAAAGTAAAAAAGATGAATGGAAATTAAGTTAATAGTTATAACTAAGAAAAATGATTCCCATCCAAAGCATGAAAAAGTGTAGGGTGGGGTAGGAGAAAGACACACCCTCTTCTCCTTATATATTATATACATTTTAGTATTGATTAATCAGTGACAGCGTGCTTTGCCAACCTCTGCGTGTGTCCATGTGAATGAAAGTGACTGAGAAGGAGGGAATGGCTTCGGTCATTGGTGTGGCCTTGCCTCTTGCTACTGCCGTCTGTTTCATGTAGAAGACCAATAACAGCATTATTTATTACCCTTCAGTTAATAATTATAAGGTCAACTGGGGAGCTCAAATTTTTATGGTTGCTGTGCCATTTCATTTAACTTGTTATTTCATTTCAATGATAGATTTGAAGTAATTACAAAAGAAGAAAAGGTTACATATTATAAAACATGTTAGTCTTAAAATGTGCTTTAATAGATATCACGAGATAACTATTAAAAATTATATCATTACTATAATTATTGTGGCACTTTTATACTGATAATACCATATTATTAATAGAAATCTAATCTATCATTTTGGAGATAAGTTTTTCAAGTTACATTTTTTAGTATATAGCACTTTTTATGATGAATATTTATTCTATTGAATTATTTCCTATCTAATTTTTAAAATAATTCCAAACTATTCTAACAAAACAACAAAGATTTGAGTTTTTATATAGTGTGACATAGATATTAAAAAAAAAGGCGTACTCGTAATAACTTCAATAATTAAGTGACTAAATTCATAAAAACCATTTAAAAAATAAAAGACTGCACATTGATCATAAGGAAAGTGTTAAGGCACTGATTAAGAAATAAAAAAAATGTTTAAAAAATGTAAGAATGCACCTACTCCCATGTATTAATTCTAATGCATTTTAACATATTTTTAATAAAAATTATTATTTATTAATTCTTTAACTAATATCTTGAGAAAACTGATTAGCAAGACTCTACTCATAATTTAATTTCTGGTTATGTGTATAAATAAGTTTTTTTTTAAAAAAAACACAACCACTTCAATGTTTTCTATGTCTTGAAAAGAAGAACATCTAACATTTGGTTAGGAGTATCTTAATATACATAAAAAATAATAATTAAAAAATAAAAATATAATTATTTCTAATAGATTCAAAATGTATGTCACATTATATTTCTACGATTCCAAACTTAAAATTAAAAATAAAATTAAAAAAATTTAAATTTATTCAACTAATTTAGATTAGTATAATTTTAAAAACTTTTATATTAAATCTGAATTTTTTATTTAACTTATATTTAACGGATTATAATTTATTATTTTATTGGCTTAAATGTAATTTAAATGAAATATTTAAATTGAATGTAAGAGTTTTTAGATTTATTGATGTAAAAACGATCTTTTTCCTGTATTTATATATATATTGAAAGAATTGGTGTATTTATATATATATTGAAGGAATTGGAGAAGACGGGAAGGACTAGCTGATTCATGATTTTTGCAAACAGCTACACACAGTCATATAAAAAGGACAAAAAGAACAATAATGGATGCGGTCCTATCCAGTGGCGCGCAATGGGAAAAAGAGTAAGCAAAGCTTATGTTCAGTATGGAAGAAGTTACACTCAACTACTATGCGCTCCAATAGCAATCACATTTCTCAGACGTTCCTTTCCATGTGAAAGCCCCTCTTATTCTTGTTGGATGGTAAAGGTCGATTTGCTTTAGCCGGCCATTAAGCCAATTTCATAATTAGCATAAACTCACAGAACTGCATTTATATTAGACTAGTTGCTAAATATGTATTGTCAATGGACCACCTCGAATAAATTTCAAAACAATCAAACCTGACAAGTCTTTATACATGTGATATGTCGCACCTTGTAGCAAAACCAGTGGTTTCTTTTCTTGTCCAGAAAAATAATCTGTGGTTTCCACATCATAAGAAATAGACCGGAGACCGTGGGTAAGTGTTCTAGCAAATGTTTCATTCTCATATAGTTAGAACTTTTCTACATGAACAATTATGGTTGGATAGGGACCAGACAGAATTAACATCAGCAGGCATCGTATATATAATTATTTGGCTGACAATGATGCTTTCTTGCCCGTTTCAGTTATCAAGTGCATCCAATAAAGAAATGGATCATTAACAGTTACGCTTGAACGTTTTTTTTTTTAAAAAAAAAATTTACTGTGGCTTTCCTTTTGCAACATCTAAACTCCATGAAAAGGTTAATAAACACAACATTTTCTCGGGTTGGGAAGATATTAAATCCCAATTAATTCAACTTGAGTTGGATAGACTCAACATTTATTTATTAACTTAATAGTTTTTATCACCTTTTTATATTATGCGATATACCATGATAGTTTATGTTAATTTGGAGCTTGACGTAACTTGATTTATTAATCATGTTAGTTTATCATTTAATATATCATCATATAATACTGAAAAAAATGTATTTAAAGAAGGAAACTTTAATCCCGATTCAACTATCTATGGTCAGACTAGCTAATCGTAAACCACTTTCACCAATTTAATATCCAGTCTAATTTTAAAAAACACTGGTATTTGTTAATCTATAAGCAATAAAAAACACCATTCAACAATACCTAAATATAGTGGATGAACCGTATTCCCATGCACATGTACCATAATCATATGACCTGGACCAGCCTTGTCTATGGATGTCCGGGAAACTCAACCTTATTAGGGCTAGTGTCATGACGTTGAACCAATTTTTATATTGATCCGGTATAAAAAAAAAGATACATTGCTATTATTTACATTATCTGGGGTTAATTTGGCTCAGTTGAAAATGTTTGGCTTACAACCCATATGCTGAACAGATATTACCAGATAAATATCCCAATTTATTTTCTTTCCATCATGGTTCCTAACAAGAGCTTCATAATCACCTTCTTCATTTAACATATTTTAAAGGCTAGTTAGTGCCTAAGCACTCAACTTCAATAATTAAAAGAAAACTGACATTACAATTTACAGGCATTTAGAAGTAGTGTTGAATCAAGAACAATGAATAATTGGGTAGGTGGCTAGATCACCTCGTCACCACCATAACCAAAGCAAGACACTATAAGCAAACAACTATTCCAAATGAATAAGCTCTTTGTTGAAGAAGACTTGTGAATAGTTTTCTAAAAACCTACCGCACAAGAGCCCTTTGAGCTTGAAATGTAAACATTGCGTAGGCCACCCGTCTTAAATTCAACTTTTATTTAGAGGAATGAACGCAGCGTAGAGTCTTGGATACCATATTATGAACCAAATTTGTCAAAAGCTAGAACTCTTAAGTGATGGCATATAAATGGTTTATAAGCTAAAAAGAATAAGGATTTATAAAAAAATAAATGGATTTCATTACCAAGAAGTAGATGATGCATACTACTGAAAAGCTTCACTCATATTCAATTTTCCCATTATCACGTCATTGAGACAATTTACTTTTTGAACCAACGTCACAAATAAGTAAAACAATAGTCAAACTTAACTGCAGTCAGCCACCTTTTATTGACATAAAATGCTTAACACACCTCTAAAATGGACGGTCATTGCAGGTGTGTGCTAAGACTATTAAGACCTTTCCATTGACAAAAGCATAAAAGATGGACTGGGCCAATAATGTCATCTCATCTCATGATAGCACAAACCTGGTGACATGCAAAGACAATTAGTCAAAGATAGCTTCAAACACAGTTAGGATAGTAGGTGTATCTTCATAAAGATATGACTATTAGCAACGCGCTATAATTATAAGATCGAGTGGCAGGATCCAAGCATATTATAAGAATGATTTTCTTTCTTTCTACATTAAAAGAATGTAATACCCATAAGATCGAAATTACACCAAAGCTAAAATGCAACTGGTACCCTTTTGTGTTTCAGATCACGTTATTAATCTGGATAGCAGAGAAGAGCTACAGCACAAAAAAACTGTATGTAGTGGGATGACCACTATAATCAGAGGTAAATATCTAGAGTCACCATCAATATATTATGTAAGGCATATTTAACAACGAATAACGATGAGATTAGCATCAGATGCTCAGCTGGGCTGCCTGTATCTGAGACTGAGATGATGCCTTGGCTGCGCCGAAGAGAATGAATAGAGGCTGTGTCTCACAGTAAAAAGAAACACGGGATGGAATTGACAGAGAATGGAAGAATTTGCAGCAAGTATGAACTATGAACAGAGTCTGGAAGAAGGAACAGACTCACTAGAGGTTATTAAGGGACTGCCGAAAGTGTTGAGCTGCTGGAAAAGCAAGGGTTTTGCCAAAAAATGTATCACCAGCCAAAGATGAGAGGTGCAAAGGAACAGAACAACCACCTTGTTCATCATCACTTTTTAAGAATGGGTGTTTTGAACCCTATTTTCATTCTGATGGGAGAAATTATGGATTTCAAAATCACCTTAAAATCTGTGTAGTTGTTGAAGAAAAGGGGTACAAAGATAGTGGCTGTCGCAGCTGCAATTCAGGCTTGCTATCACCACTTCATAAAAACACCTCTTACACTGGTCAGACTGCACAATAGACCTTCTCATTTTGTGTGCAACATCATGTACTCTCTTATGTCCTATGAAGCACAACCTCTGACACAAACACTGGACACTCTGACATTGCTTATGTCCAAAATATTAGAGACATTATTCTACAATATAAACACTTAGTTTCTTTACCAAAAAAAAAAAAGAAGCAAAACAAGATAAGCTTATATCATATTCATCTGCCCCTGAACCGTTCCTCCTTGTTTCAGAAATTTGATTCAAAACCATACAAAACACAATAATACCACTACTGAATTGGGTCTTAGTGACCCAATAATGCCAAGGGAGAATTTCTTTCCAAGACATCAATAGCCACCAATCCAGATCGATGACTATCTACATCATCAAGTGAAGCTAATATATCATAAAATGTACTGTGACCTGTTGGATGGGGCTTATTACTAGCCAGGGAATCAGGTACACCTTTCTATGAGGACCATTCCTTTCTTTCAATGGTTTGGGCTAGGTCCCTTAGATCAAAAGATTAACACAATTTCCATAATTTCAATCCTGCCCCTCCTTCCTCCCTTTGTTTCTTACATATTCCTCATTGATTCTTCACATAGCTGCAACTAGAGACCCATTCACCTCCTTGTGAAAATCCAAGTCCAATGGCTCAAGTAATGGCGGTGGACAAGCTGGACTACCTGAAATTCTCTTCGCCATGGTGGTTGCAACTTGCACCAATACCCAAACCTTTTCAAGGTCCTATTCAGCCACAAAATTCACATGAATCAATGTGGCATTCCTCCCTTATTTCTTCTTCTGTGGAAAAACCATTTTGTATGTTTCTGGAGCTTTGCATCACAAAAACTGGGGCTATTGTGTAATACAGGGAAAGTTTTCCTCTTCAATCCTCATCCCCTTTGCCTTTAGGTCAAACTTCTGTATTTCCTCTGCCTGGATAATAGCAAATTTTGCTGTATTTTTTTTTTTATCTCCAAGCTACTGGTTCTCTGCTCGTACGAAATTCCAATGGTTTTAACTCCAATTTACTTCCTGCTTGATAGAATTCAAGAGAGAAGTTTTAGTATCCTGAATAATGTATTATATCATTTAGGTTCTACCAACATATATATTGGTTGAGCTTGAGATGCAAGCTTTGCAACATAACTGTCAAGTGACAGCAGGAAACAAGCTAACAGCTAACAGAATTGACAGTAGATACAACGCAAGCTAACAGAAAGCTGCGTATAATCTATTCTAACATTACTTAATTGCTTCCTCATTTGAAAGAGATACAAATGGATCCAGATCATACTCAGGTTAGAACTGCTTGAATACTGCCTTCGCAAAGGTCCCCCAAGTTTCTGGTCCCTTTTCATCAAAGATGCCCAATGAGAGAAACACCTCTTAGAGGTATCGCAGCCCTTGATAGCTTCTCTGCCTCAGGTGTTCCAATGGCATCAAAATACTGCTCAATGTTGATCAACCAACAATAATCCTCCTCCCCATCAAACACATGAATCATCCTTGATATTCAGTACCCAAGTGTCCAGCACCAGGATCTAGATCTAATACTGGTTCAGAATGTAGAGATTAACTGAAAGAAAGAAAGAAAGAAAGGGAATTTTATTGAAGCCTAACACTCTGAATCAATGGAACTCAAAGTGAAAAAGAGATATAATGGCTTAAAATATAAGTCTCCATGAAATTGAGAGTCTGGTCTATCTCCACCCAAAACTAATTGACCAATGAACTAAATACACTTACAATCCTTTCCAGGCCTTCCTTTATTTATGTTCTACCACTGCTACTACAGTTAGAGAGCTAACTAACTCTAATAACAAGTTTTAACTAACAGAAGCTGATCCACCTGGCTCTTTGGGCCATTCTTATTTCTTCTAACATGTACTTTCCAAATTGGGGTCTTGCTAACAACAAAGTGCTACTTAAGGGTAAAGGACCAGCATTGCCACAATTGCTTTGTTGATCCATGTCATAAAGATTCAGCAAAGTTTCACATGGATTGCCAATTGCCTAACTCAACCTCTTATTTCATATGGACTTCATTAGCCTATGTAAAGTTCCGGGTAGAGTGCAATATATGCAAAATTACCAAACTAAGCAGGAAAATAGGCAGGAATTAAGTTTAATAACTCCATAACTCACACCAGGCCACAGAATGATGCTTCTGATATTGTGCAGGATATAGTTCTCTGGTTTAATTACAAAATCATGCAGCTTCCAAATGATTTTGAAGTTGATTAATCTAGTAGCCTACATTCCCCACCCATTATAGTTCAAACTACTCGCCATTGACAGAACAACTCAATCAAAACCTTCAGAGAAAACCAACTACCTCAGCAGCATTACAACAAATGACCAAAAGAGTAAAGTAACAAGTAAGACAAAAATAATTATTAGTTTCACCTCTATCCTCAAACTATTGCATACTTAATACGATATGATTCACAATTTAGCTCTCCTCTTCTTACATACTACCACCCCTTCATTTATAACATGCAATGAAGACCAATACCGCAAAGTTGAAGGAAACAGCCTTTTCTTTACCAAAAAAAAAACAAGGAAAAAAATAAAGGAGATTGAAACTCTCCTTCCACAAAAGCACGAGGGACTCAAGTCCAGAGATACTTCATCCTCATCCTAATCCTACTACAGGAAATAAGGAAATTCATATCAAGTTTAGCTCCTACAGCTATTCAAAAAGCAATTTCAATTGCCGCACAACACGAGAACCCACCCTAACCCTAGCCCTAGATTAAGTAAAATTGTAAAACAATCAATCAAGTTAATAAAAGTATCATTTGAAACCAAACCACGCGCGTTAGTCACTCGATTCAGCCCCGGAGAAGAGGCAATCGAGCAAATCCAAACACTCGCGTCAAATGCAAAGCAATACCACACACCGCAATCAAGTTTGTGAACCTAAAATTCCCAAATTAACATAAATCGAGAGAGAGAGGGGGGGGGGGGAGGAGAGACCTGTACGTCAGTGCTGGTAGCCACCGCCGATAGCATCAAGATCCTCCTCGACGGTGGAGTTGAGATATACGGGAGGGAAGTCGGCGACGGAGAATGTCTTTTCCTTGACGAGTTTCTCAACATCGGGTTTCTTGAGGATTGTGCGACGAATGGGAGGGCGGTTACGGCGCTGGTCGCGAGTGAAGTACTTGATGTCGTAAACGGTTTCGGGGAGTGAGGTGGGGACAGAGGGCTGTTCCTTGGTGGTGGCCGGGCAGTAGATGCGGTACTCTTGGGCAGCGGGCAGCGCGGACTTGTACTCGGGGTGGGCGCAGGGACCCGTGATTTCCCATGGCTTCTTGAAGAAGCTTTTGAGGCTCTGCAAAAGGGAAGTGGAGGTTGCCTTCGCCATCACCAATGAATGCGGAGGAGATCGCAATTCTCAGTTCAGATCAACCAATGTTGTTGTTGTTGCGTTCCCTGCCTTTGAATCCAAAACCGCCCCGAATCCGAATCCGAATCCGAACCCTGGGTCCCGTTTTACGGAGTAAACTCATTTTCTTATCTGTTATTTTTAAATTTTGATAATAAATTGTCATTTTAATTTTAATGTATGTAATTATTAATTGTTTTAATTTTTTAATTTTAAGAATTCATCGATAAAAATTAAAATAATTTATAATTGTATATATTGTAGATTAAATAATTAGTAATTATCATATAAACTGATGATTAAAATAAATTTTACTTACAATTATTAAATGACTTTTAAAAAATTTAAAAGTTAAAATAATTAATAATCATATATATTGAAGATAAAATGGTGTTTTTTAATTTAAATTTTATTTTAATAAATTCTAAAAATAATAAAAACTGAAAAAAAAATATGCAATGAGATAATTTGTCGTTTAAAGTTAAATAAGAACATGTTTAATCCCACTTATCAGTTATTTTAATCTTCATAACAAAGGTTTGTTGAAAGATCAAAATCATGAAATATTTAAAATTAATAATAAAATGTTTGAGTAAAAGAATTTTTTTTCCAAATAATCAATTATTCCAAAGTTGTAAGAGATTATTTCAAGCTACGTAATGCTTTATTGACCAACGACAAAATATTTAAAGTAAAAAACTTAAAGTTCACTCAAGTAACTTTAAAAGACCTCCAAGGCATTTTAAGGAGATTAAATATTATTTTAAAAAAAAAAAAAAACATGCCGCTTCAATCTTAAACTCGAACTTCAAAGAATATACACTAAAAAAATTTCTTTGTTCCTTGTAATTTTTTACAAATTAATAATATATCAAATATTTCTTATATTTATGCTAATTACATGTTTAATGAATGTTTTGGAGAGTTCGTAAAAAAAATTATTTATATTTAAAAACTCTTACAATAAATATTTCTCATTCTCTTTTCTTTTTAATTAACTCTCAAATAAAATTTAAAAAATTTAAATTTTATAAAGAAAAAATTACCAATCCAATATTTCAAAAATTTTAAGCTATCAAATTATTTTATTAAAATTTAATAAGTTTAATTCATTGATTAGTGTTTAAAATCTTTGATCCTTATATATTGTTAGGATTACAATTTTATGTACGTTGTTTTAAAACGAAGATAAAAAACATTGAATAATTTTATTAAAATCAAAACAAAAAACAGGAGACTTATTACTTAACTAAGCCAAATTTAAATTATTATTACTATTGTATTAGTCTTTCAAATATATTACTATTAATTAGTCTTTTAAATATTTAATTTATTATTAAATTAAACTCTCAAATGGCCAAAATCATTATTAAACTACTTTATAAATGTTTAATTTTGTTGCCAATTTTGTTGTTTATTTTTTTCTAACCACCACTTATTTTTTCATTAATTTTATTTTGATGAACAAATTTAAGAACCAATTAATATGACAATAAGTTAAATGTTTAAATTTTCAATCTAGCAACAATATAAAAATGAATGTGATAATATTTATAATTTTAAGAAATTAAAGCTAAAATTTATTCTATTTTAAATATTGGGAGATGTGTTAAAAGCTTTAATAAAAGGAAAAGGCACTAATTATATAAAAATAATTAAATATTTTTTAAAGATTACATTAAAATGTACTAAAAACTATACAAACTTTTATTTTTTACATTTTAATAAAAAAAATATTTGTATTTACCTAGTAATATCCTTTTTAATTTTGATCTTTAAAAGAAATTTAAGTATGTGAAATGGTGTTTTTTTATTGAAAATAAAAATTCTTATAAAAGTATATATTTAAATATATCATTAGCTCATTTATTCGTTAAAAAAGACTCAAAATGTAAGCATCCCCGCATCATTTGTGGCTTTAAACACACGCACTCATTTCCTCACTACCACAAATATAAATTCAATCAAAACGATAACTCTTAACTGACACGTAAATCAAGACCCAATGTAGAAAGTAGTTTGGGTTGTGTAAAATTTTATTACACTTTGTGATCACGACAAGTCAATGTCAATGCATATATTATTAACGTTTTTTTAATGTGTATTTAAGGTTCTATTTAATCAAATTTTACATATAATAAATCTTAATCTGCACGCAAGTAAGTCAAAACCCATTTTAGAAAGTAGTTTGTGTATTGGATATTTTGATTTGATTATACGTTGTGATCACGATGACTGAGATGTCGAGGCATATATCCTTCTAACATAATTTGTGTATTTTATAATATAATATAATATTTTATACTTTTCAATAAAGATATTATACATAAATGTTTATCAAGTATTTAGATATTCATTAAAAATTATTATTACCTATTTTTTTAATTATTTTAAAAAAGGAGAATACTTATTTTATAAATTGGTTGCCTACTTAAAAATAATTTTTTTTCAAAAAATAATTAATCGCGCAGAAGTATGTTAAGAATACTTTTAAAAAACATATGGTTAGCGAAATCTTCTTATTATAAAATAATTATTATAAGCAATAATAAAAACGTGACAAAGGCATCTTAGAAAAAAAAAATAGAAAAAGAAAAAGTAATAGCGGGAGTGATCGTCTCTTGTGATCTCCGAACACAAACTAGCTTCAGAATCTTTACTCTCTCTCTCTCTCTCTCACACACACACTTCACACGCTCTCCCAAGACACTGTCGCGTCGATCTCTCTCCTCCCTTTGTAAATCGTGTCTGCAACCAAGCAGGTACGCACGTGCGTGTTCTCATGAACATGTTCTTATAATTATTGTCGGATACGCTAGTTATCGTTTATGTTTTTGTTTTGCAGCTTGCTTGCTGTCTGATCTGTCAATACTGTGTCGTTTAGGACAAATTCCTCTCTCTTCAAGGATGTACGCTATATCTCGTTCAAGGGTTTTCCAAGTTTTTTTGTTTCTTTTCTTAATTCTTGTCACGATTTGCCTCTTTTCTGTTCACAGTTTTGGTTGAAGTTAACAATTTCTTCTTCACAGTTTGAATGGTTCTGATGTAGACCTTGATTTTGCTTAGGATTTTTACTAGGATTTTATCATTCTCATGATATGTCGGGTTTCCACTCTTTATTTTGTTTAATACTGAACTGTTCCAACGTTAATGTTTCTGGATTGATTCATTCAATGTATCGATCCTTTCCTTTTCGTTCTTCTATGATTATAATGCTCCCTAGCTCTACTTGTGTGGCTTGATTAGGTTGTTTTATTATGCTAGCACTTTTTCATGTGTGATTCTTAACATTCTACATGTGGTGACTATAGCAAGCAGTTTCAATGAGTTTCTTTTTTAAGAGTATTTTTGAAAAAAAAAAAAAAAAAGAATTTTCCGGAAGGTCCTGTTAAATTTTTTTAATGACATATAGGTATGCTTGTTATTTTGAGCTGGGGGTATAGCATAGCACTAGCAGGGCAGCGAACTGAAAAGTTTCTCTGGCATTCCTCAACCAGAATTTATCCATCATTAATGATTTTTTCTTCTTTACATTATTGCAGATTCTTTTGCAGATGGCCATACAGGAAGCAAACCCTGAGACTACTCCCAGTGCTCAAGTTGTTGGCAATGCCTTTGTGGAGCAGTATTATCACATTCTGCACCAATCCCCAAACTTAGTGCACAGATTTTATCAGGATTCAAGTATCCTAAGCAGATCAGACAGCAATGGTGTGATGACAACTGTGACAACTACAAAAGTAAGTCTATAAACCTCTACTAGGATATGCATGTATAATTTTCTTCTTTTATGATAAAAACTTATATTGATTACATCCAACCGTAGCTACAATAATTATTTAAATAGTTCTGTCCCACATGTCACATATTATGTATTTTATCTTATCACTATTTATAAATAGGGTGTATATTTTAATAACTTTAGAATGACTGAAGTAAAAATGGATCTGTCAAACAACCAGATGATGGATTTGTACCGCCGGATTTAAGACTACTGAATTGATGTTTATGAGGTAAATTTTGAATAATAAGTATTTGAGTTCAATGCCAAGAAGTTGTGGCAAAAATGGTGACTGAGTTTTGTGAAAGCTGTCTAATATATGAATGCTCAGGGCTGTGTCCCACAGTAATTTATGGACTAAGTTAGAGATGAGTTTTCTTGGATTAATATGGAGTTATTATATAATTAAAAAGGAGAAAGAGTTGGTTTGACAGGTTTGTTCTGAAATAAAATTCTGATAACATAATTACACTTCAGATTGGTCGTCAGCATAGTCCACAAAGCTAAAAGTATTTTCCCTCCCCTCCAAATCAGGAAAATGGGAAGGACGGATTTTGAACCTCTTATTTTACCTCCTCTCCCTTCCACAAATTTCCAAACCAAACTATATATTTTTATAAAAATAAAAATGGTCCCACTCCCTTCCATTCCTCTCTAAACAAACACTATGTAAGAGACCTAACATGCAAAGTCATTATCTATGTTGTGGAATTTTTTAAATAATACAAATGAAGAATATAAATATTTCTGGATTGTTGTGAAAATACTGTAATAAAAGAGTTTAACAAACTCATATCACAAATATTATAAGTAAGGATGAATAAATTTGAATAAATAGATAAATAAATATGCGAAAATTGAAAGAAAGATAATTTGTCATTAATTTAGAAGAAAAATGGTCTCGCTAGTATTTTAGGCACAACCAATTATACCTCAAGCAATACTTAGTCTCATTAAAATCATACGTATGCCAAATACAGTTATTTTAGAAGCTAAAAGCTAATTTTGATAAGCACCCAAGTGAATCCAATGTGTGTCAATACCTAGTACATACCGAGAACAGGTACTTTGACAGAATGAAGTACCAATGCTTCAAAGGTCATAGTAGAGGCTTTTTTGGAACAAAGCTATAGAGGGGCTAACAGATGCTACATCACTGATGACACTAAATTTATTTTGTCATAAAATTAGTGGCCTCAATCATATTGTCTTTTGCTAGATGATAACTACTGGCCCATCTTGTGTTGAGTCTTTTTATTTGTTTCAATCTTATTTTGCAAGAGTGATAAATGAGCATCATCATTGATTATTCAAACAGATTTGTCATTTGGCTGGACTAGTTCTTCCGGAACATATTTTGCTTAACGATTGCTTAGATTGTTTTGCCATCTTCACAACAATAACAACCAAGCCTTTTCTTATTAAGTGAGGTTGATTATATGGTTCAAACAACATCATAATGCTCTATACTGAATCATGTCCATAGACAAATTGTTGACCTCTAAATAGTAAATCCTGCTTAATGGTTTTGTCTATGGTTTTTCTTGGTCTACCTCTACCTCTAGAAACTCATACTCTTTGGTATACTAACCAAAGCACTATTGTGATGTGACAACATGTGTACTCCCTTACTAAATACATTTGTCATGTTAGATGTCTAGTCTGTATACCATCTGTACTCCCCTTAATGGTTTGGTTTCTGAAGAACTTATGTACTTTCAACTGTTGGATCAGGACATCAATGAAAAGATTATCTCCCTGAATTATGAAGATTATACAGCAGAAATAAAAACTGCTGATGCTCAGGAATCATACGAGAAAGGTGTGATAGTTTTAGTAACTGGATGCTTAACTGGGAAGGATAATGTAAGAAGGAAGTTCTCACAGACATTCTTTCTGGCTCCACAAGATAAAGGATATTATGTCTTAAATGACGTCTTCAGGTACATTGAGGAGAATGACACACTGCAGTTAAATTCTACCTCAATAAATGTCATAAATGAAAATGCTGAGGCAGTACACATGCCAGAATCAGGTTAGCATGATTTTTTCTCCGTATATATATATATATATATATATATATATATATATATATGTATGTATTCAACAGTTAATTGTTTTGCAAAACCCTAAATTCATAATTGTTTCTTCTATGTTTCTAGAGGATGTGCATGCTCCTGAACATCTTGTGGCAGACACTGCAGCTTCTGTAGAGGGTGAAAACCTTAATAATGGTGCTGAAGTTTATGATCCTCAAGATGAGGAAGAAGGATCAGTTATTGATGAAGAAGTAACTGAACCCCCTACCGATTTAAGTCAAAATGATATTGTTACAATTCATGATTCAACTTCTGCTGTCCAGGACTATGCACCAAGGACATCATATGCATCAATTGTGAGTTTGTTCTATTATACTTGCCCTGTACTACCCTCCTGGTATTTTACATTCATTAACTTAATGAGTTTCACTTACATGAAGGTAATGAAAAGTAACACAGCATCCAGTCATGTCTATGTTCCCAGCCGAGCTGCAAGAGTAGGATCTGCTCAATCCACTGAACAATGGTCTACTACTGCCAAATCAACTCCTGTGCCTGAGGCATTAGGGCCTAGCAGTGACAGTGCACCTGGGAGTAGTGATGTTCATGAAGAAGGTTTATATTGTTGCTTGTTGATATGGTTGACAAACAATTTTGTTTTTAGACCAGCCAACTGTGATCTAGAGATGTTTTCCTCATTGGTGTATTTGTTTTGTCTAATTTTGACTTGTGTACAGAAGAGATTAAGAGAAATTCATTAAAGATAAGGAGGTCAAATGAATTAATGGAGTTTATAACTTCATATATACTGGTGCATTAAATTATAGTTTGAAAATCAATTAACTTGTTTTGTACTGTTAACAGCTGAAGGTCATTCCATATACATAAGGAACTTGCCATTTAATGCAACAGTTGAACAACTTGAAGAGGTCTTTCAGAAATTTGGTCCTATTAAGCACGGTGGTATCCAAGTTAGAAGTAGTAAGGTCTGTGGATATTTAGATCTGCATTTTCAAACTATCTAAGTATTGTCTGAGGCAAGCTTATGAACTTTTTTTCTTTTTTTTGTATTTTTGGCTTCTTGCAGCATGGTTTTTGTTTTGGCTTTGTTGAATTTGAGGAACTGAGTTCCATGCACAGTGCACTTGAGGTACATACTGTTCTTTTGAACTGATTTGGTAATTCTCTGCTGCTATCTGTATATTTGGCCATGGAAGAAGTGTCTGTTTGTGGACATCCATAAGATTTAAAGTTTGACTTTGAATATCTTTTAGAATACTTTTAGTTGATCCATGTAGTCAACCTCACCTAGTAGATAGTATAAGACTTTGGTTATTGTTGGTAGTGGTAATGCGGTATAGATTAACATTAGCTTGCATTAATGTTGCCTATAGTTCAGATTAAAAGTCTTATTGAACACTGTTTGATATGTTATCCATGTTCATGACAAAAACTCAAATTTGGTTTTGGTTGCATGTCCTGGTAGTTGACACAAAATTAGGAAGTTAAGGCTTGTTTTAGTTTCCCGTATCTTTTTCTTTCTCATTTTGTGTGGTTTTTGAGTTCTCTTGTTTTTGTCAGGAGCATAAGCTTTCCTCAATTGATACACTTCCTCACTGTCTTTTTCTAATAAAACTTAAAAAAAAAATTTCCTTCCCATTTTTTTCCCATCATCTCGTGCTGGCTTGGTGTTTGGCATTATGGTGATCTGGAGAATGATTAGGAAACACTGTTGCAGTGAAGCTTTTGTAGCAGCAGCACAAGTGGATGAAAAGGCTTGTTTTTTATAATGTGGTATTTGGTTATGACACGGTACTAGCACTCAGTGGAAAGGTCAACGCGCTGATGTTATGGTTGAGGAATCACATGTTGACAAGTTAATTTTGATGGTTATGTCAATGTAATGGTAAATGAGAGTCATAGTGGAAGAAGGTCAATTGGAAAATAGATATGTCATTCCATTTGTATGTTGGTGGGAACTAGAATGTGTTTGTCTATGAAGAAAAACATGCTTTCATTTTTCTTGGTAGACAACAACTAATCCCCATACAAATTGATGGGGTTGGCCAGGTGGATCAATGGACATCATTGGGCTCTACAAGTCAATTTTTCCGTAGGTTTTCCCCTACACTTTTAATTGGATTATCTTCCATTTGATCCACTTTTCTAACTAAAGCCTCTATTGGTCTTCTCACATGACCAAATTACCTGAGCGGAGAGCTTCTGTCATCTTCTCTTTAATAACCGCTACTTCAGTTTTCTCTTGAATACCTTTGATCCTAAACTTATCTTCTCATATGTTCTCCCATTCACCTTCACATTGCCTTCTCTGTTGTATGTTTTGTACCCTTGTTGGCACCTCATTGCCCAACACTCACTGCCATAGACTGACCTTGTAAAACATGTACACCAATGTGTTTTACAAGAATCTTAGAATGAAAAACTAACCAACTTAATAAGTTGTTTATTTACTCATTTTTTGGTAAAGATGATGCAGTTTTCCATGTAACAAGAAAATTATCTACAATGCTGTCCTTTCAATGCATGACATACAATCTCACAATTACAGTTCTAAACCCTATGAATTTTATATGGCATGTCCAAATGACTTCCAACATTGTCTAACTGTGTCATGTGAAGCCATGGATTCCATTGGTTTTCCCAATGTAGAAATTTGATAGTTGAAAAGGCAACATGCGCCTCTGATGGGAACTCTGTTGAGGTTTTCAAGTAGTAGCTTTGTACTGTTTTGTGCTATCGCTTATGAAGAGTTTGTAGACTATTTTGTCAAAATGGGACCAAGTGGAATTTGGTATATTGTGGATTTATACTTTTACCATTGGATTACTCGTCCAACAATAGGTCTTTCCTTTTTTAACGATAGGAACCTATAAGTCTAGTATTCTGTTGTTTTGTCATTACCAGAAGTTTGGCAAATATATTACTTGCCTGATCCATTTTTGTTAGATAATATAGCAACTTAACTATAAGAATATGTGGGCGTAAAATTCTCTTTTGTACCCGCAGACAGGAGGAATTACCGATTCAACTTATTTTGAAGCATCTTCATGATATCTTATATATATTAAATCTGTCCAACCTGCTGACACGCAGCATCTCCTCATTGTTTCCCTTTCTACTTCATGCATTTAATGTTTGAAAATTTATTTTTTATTGACTTGTTTATTTTCTGATTGGTGCCAATTAGGCAGTAATCTCACCATCACCAATCATGTGATTTCTCTTTTTCCCTCTCTTATCATATGTTCCTTTTGCCACCACACAAAAACCATACAACCTTTTACTTTTTCCATCTAGTATCATTTTTTAGTTTTCTCATCACACAGAGACATTTGCATTTTGTTTTTTGATATTTTTCCGGTACTTTTACACAAAATGCTGATCTAGGATCCTTCTAAAACTAATTTCAGGCTTCCCCCATCACTGTTGGAGAGCGACAAGCTGTTGTTGAGGAAAAGAGAACTACTACACGAGGTACACTGATATATTTTCATGTTTAATTCTATGTTAACATGATTCATATTGATGGGAGCTAAACCAAGGTTATGGAATAGATGTTTTATTAAGCTCTTGTTTCTTTCTTCATATCTTATTCTAGTCAGCGGCAGTGGGAGGGGGAGGTATCCTTCAGGAAGAGGTGGTTTCCGAAGTGAGAGTTTCAGGGGGCGCGGCAAATTCGGTGGCGGAAGAGGTTTTGGCAGAAATGAATTCAGAAATCAAGGGGAATTCTCAGGGAGACCTAGGAGTTCTCAACGCTCAAATCAGAATGGAGGGGGGCGTGGTGGACGTCAAGGTGCCGGGAACCGTAGTTCGACACAGTCAACTGCTGCATGATCATATTGGTATTGAAAGAAGGAAAAACAAAAACCAAAACCAAAGAAAAGAAACTGGTGGGTTGATAATTTTTTTATACGAAAAGGAAGCCAAACACCTTTTTCTTTTTTCCTTGTTTAGGTACAAGTTCATATTTCTGACTTTCATCGTTGCAATCATTCAATGGCGAAATCAGTGGGTCAATTAGTCGTTGCAGAAGTGTTTTGGATCGGTTATGTATTTTTTTTCACTACGAATACACTTCTCTTCCTTCTTCCATTTTGCTAAGTCATTGAGCAAGATTGTTCCTCCGATTGAGTTACATGAATATCTGTTGTGGAAGGTTTATATGTAAATTGGAACTATGTGAATTCCTTTCATCTTTTTCATAAACTTAACGAAAACTGTTCACTATTTTCACCACTTTGTGCATGTTCATTTTATCAACTGCAGTTTTTTTTTTTTTTTCCTTTTATAATACTTAGCTGCGCCACGGTGAGAAAGCAAGTGTATTAACCTTTATTTTAAATAAATTAAAGTTATGAGGTGTTTCGAATGAAATCGAGAGAATAGTTTGTTTTTTTTTTCTTGAGTGGTATTGTAATATAGAAAAAAACAATTCTTGACAATTGAATTTTTTATGTATGTAAATATAGTTGTCTGAGTAAATAATAAAACCATAGATATTTTTAAGAAAAGAGTTTATTTATACAATTTTGGAAAAATAAAAGAGGAATGGCTGGGATCTCACTTTACCTCCTTAAATCTGTCCTTAAGTAAAAATAAAATAGAAGCAAGCAACACTGGAAATAGCTAGTGTTGTAAAAGCTTTGGAAAACAGTTTCTGTTTTCATAAAATGGGGAAAAAACTTATTTGAAAAATATTGTCTCGATTTAGAGTTTTTAAAAAATTGTGTTGTAATAATAAAAAAAAAAACACCAAATACAGCCTAACATAACAAGAATCTAGGGAGGAATGCAACATTATTCAATTATTTTGATTTCTACCTATTCAAAGTTTATTTTAATATCCCAAATTCCTCCTATATGTTTATGTTTGTAATTTTAACATTTAAATTTATGTTTTTCAATTAAACTAATTATTAATTTGCCAAAAACATCAATTCATAGTTTTACCAAACCGTGATTGAACTTGTATTGCTTTTATATGTATACATGTGTGTGTGTATATATATAAAAGTTAACTTTATACATAATGTTTTTATAACTTGTCACTGATCCTTTATTTGGTTAACTTTTTTAGTTAAATATACATTTTAAAATAAAATAAAATAAAAATAGCTTTCAATAACTTCTTTTATATCAGTTTTTTCTAGCTTTTGGACTGGTTTGATTAATTCGTTTGATCATACAAGCCTCTAATTTCTTTAGGAGTTTGTAATTTAATGACATGATCAATAACTAAGTTGTAGAATTATTTAGTCACAAAATACGTTAAAAAGTATATAATTTTTAAAAATTAACTTTTGAAAATTCATATGAAATAGTCAACTACCAATCATTTATTTCCTCTTTAAACTTTTTAAATAATTTACATTCATAAAATTGCAACCCTAACAAAAAAAATTAACCATCTAATTAATTGATTGATAATAAATTAAAAATAAAATTGAATTATTTAATTAAATGATTAAATAATAAATAAAAATTAGTTTATCAAATAACTTTAATTCAGTCATCTGACTAACTATACATTATAGCATTTTAGCAAATTCGTATTACAAACTATAAACTTGTTGCTTTTAACTAATTTTATCAAACAGGATTTTTATCATTTTTAACTAATTTTAAAGTCACTTGATTTTTTGGATTAAATAAACCTAATGTTAGACTAATATACCATTCTCTAGATCAAAGCATCCTACTTTAAATTTAACTACGGTTTAAACAATCTATATTAAACTGATAAAATAAAAAATATATCAATCCCAATTTTTAGAATTAACTTTCTATTTAAAAAATATATTTATATTTGAAAAGTATTTATTATATTAAAAAGTTAATAGTATATTAGTATGAGAAATATTATTTTCAATAATTTTTATTATTAATTATTAAAAATACTTTTAAAAATTAAGGTTTCCTAAATCATAAAATAAAATAGTATATTTTTTTCTAAGTACAGAAAATGATGATGGTCATCGTTGTTCATCCTCCGCAACAAGCTTTTGGATTAGAATTGCATGTCCTACAATTTCTTTTAACCACATAATCCCTTTTTTCATTATTATTTAGTTATTTTTTATCTGCTAATTGAAACAATAAATTAAATATTCATATTTCAGCAATAGAGAAAGAGAGAAATAAATAAATAAATAAATAAAAGCGGTGCGCTAATACCTCTGTCTCTGTTCGTCAAGACTCAAAACCCAAAAACCCAACCCTAATACGAAGTTCTCCACCTTTCTCTCGCATCAATGGCCGACTCTGTATTTTCCATTCAGTACCTCAAAGATTTCTTCAATTCTCAAGTCAATGACGATGAGAAATGGGCCTTCAATGCGGTAATCTTTCTCTCTCTTCCTCTTTCCTTGTCTTCTACTCGATTCGCACCTGTTCTGTTTCGTTTATTTTTTCTTTATTTTTAATTATGTTAGTATGTGATTTAATATGGTTCATAGCGTCATCAGATCAAATTGGTAAAGTTGGTGCCATGTTTTTTCAGCGAAACAGAAAGAGTTAGAGAGATAGAGCAATTGCCCCATATATTTTCAAATTTTAAAAAAAACTATGTGAGAATCGTAAACCCCTTTATAAAGCTCCGCCATTTTCTGTGCTTTGTTTTAATGAGAGAAGGAAGAATCTTGAAAAAATATTTTTTGTCATATGAGTACCCTCAGCTTGCAAAATGGATCGGTTATTACCATTGTCCCTTATTATTATTGATCGTTGCAATGTAATAGCTCCATGACCAAATCATGATTCTATACTGTGTGGTATTGAAATTTGTTGCCGTTGTCAGCTAACGTGAATGCTTGAATGGAGGAGTTTCAGTTATCTTGAATTTTATTTTATTTTTTTTAATCGAGTTAATCGGGTTTACTTCTGCACGTTTATGGATCCTTGTGGTTTGGAGGCAATTGCTGATTGTTTTGCCACTGTCAATGTCTGAATTTTATAAGTTGTGTTGATGATCTTCTATGAATTTTGGACATTTCTTTCTTTGTCTAGTTGTTACCCTTATCTGTTATGTTAATTTTTTGTTTTGAGAATTTTGATCCTCTTCGTATTGTCTTCACCGTAGAGACATTGGTGTTGCTTTTAGTTTCATAGGAATTCAGGCATTCTCTTATGTGAAACATAATTGGTTGTGATCATTTTTGCTTGGAAACTCCTGAGACAGGATGCATGTGTTGTGATTATTGTAGAAGTTACAGTATAGGAGTTAAATGCAAGAAGTTTATTATCCAGGAAGAGTGAATAGCTTCAGTAATCTGTCGCTTAGAATAACCAACCACTGAACCTTTTGGTTAACAAGGTTACTCGTTAACTTAGTTTATAGGAAGTGCTATTACTAAGAGTTGGAGCATGAATAAGATTGTGGCAATGGGCTATTAGTTTTTACTTAATTTTAATGGTATTTCTTCCCATCAATTCATGTTTATATCTGGGAACTTGACTTGGTTTAACATGAGTGCGGATTCTCTTTTGTTTTTTCCCCTGCAGAAATTGCTTCGTGCTATGGGATTGTTTGCAGGATCAATAGCACTTATGCGAACTTATGGTGACCTTATGGCAATCTGAAGTTGAAGAATAAGTTGGATGTCATGAACTGCTATCATCTACTTCAACAGTAATGTGATGTGTAGGCTTTAGTAATTTGAACATGCAATGAGCTCTATTAATTTGAGGCTTTTGATGAACGATCATAATGCTTTAACGATTTGGTTATGTTGACTTTAATTGTATGCGCACATTCCCTGGGTCGGATGTTACGGATACTAAATAGTTAATTTTTATATCCGTGGATTAACTCAATTTGTTACAGATATGCAACCGGCTGGAAAGGTTAGTAACTTAAGGTGTGTTTGGGAGAGATTTTGGTGGGGAAGGGAGGGAATTGTATATATATTTTATTTTAAATTAAGAAAATTATATATAATTTATCATCATAAATGTATATTTAATATATCTATTTATATATTTTATTTTTTAAAATATTGATTTTAAATATATTTATTTAAAATAAAAAATTTATCTCTCCTTTCTTTCTTTTCAAAATCTTCCTTTCTAAATACCTCTTAAAAAGAAAATTCTTATATACACTAGAAAATTGTGATAATGATTTTCTTTTATATGCTTTTAAGTGCTTGTTATGGTGTTTTTAAATTTAAGAGTGTATTGAATACTTTATTTATATTATATTAAGATATTAAAGGATATTTATGTTTTTTAAATATATTATTAATTTTATTATTAAAATTAATTGTTACGATTGTTTCACGGATATAAAGGTATAGAATATTCTTTCGTGTTTTTCAGAATACTTAAGACTTTATCATACTTTTATATTATTTTATTACATAATATATTATATATTAAAAATAGATAATTAATTGGAACCGATGTGGTACTGATCGGTCTAATTTTTGAAACATTTGACAGAACACGAATTGTGGACTATTTACGGGCATCTAAATCCTCCTTAATGGTCAATCTTGTAGTCCTACTAATATAAAGCACGCCAATTATTCAAATTCCATTTTGCTCCGATTGCGTTGATCAGGATGTTTGCAAAATGTCTATATTAATGTCAAATGACACAAATTCCTCTTTTTAAAATTCTTATCAAAGCTGCAATTAACAAACACAAATGACAAAAACCATTAAGTTGAAACCAGATATAGCAATTCAATGCTACTCGATATAGAGGGTAAAAACGAAGCATAGGACCGATTCCAAAACCGGGGCAAACCATGTCTTTACCGAAGAATACTATTGAAAAATGTTTGACCTAGAGCTACAAAAGCCTTCTTACAGTAGTACAATAGTTCACGGTTATTAGCTTTTATTTTTTATCTAATTTAATTCAGATTTAACCTAAGTTACACACCTGGGATATAATGGATCAGTTTAACACTACAAATTTTTTGTATACACAATGATTCAAATTCAAGACTTTAATTAACTGATATTAAGTTGCTTAACATTCAGATTAATTTCTGTTAATGATTATTAAATTCTTTAAATATTTCAAAATCTGTTTACCAAAAATAAAATAAGCAAACATATAATTTATATTCTAAATGAAAAAGATAATATATCTATCTAATTCTAATGTTTGTGCTGTAAATATAAATATACTAAAAAGCAAGAAAAAGTATAACAAAAAGTAAATAGTAATCAAGATTATTTTTTTTAATATTGATTATTATTTCTAATCTAGTTCAATTTAAATATAACCTGAGTCGCACACTTAGATGTAGTAAATGAGTTTAGATTTTTTACATATATAAGAATTCAAATACAAGAATTTTTTTAAACGATTTTAAGCCACTTATTATTTAAACTAACTTTTATTGATAGATTATATTTCATTTGTTATTTTATTTCAACATCGATTATATAAAATGATAAATCTCCCTTTTGTTATGTAGCTCTTTTTCTTATAATAAAGTCAAATTTAAATATTTTTATTCGTGTTAATCTTACAGTAGTATTTACAAGAGTTTTTTATTGACAGAAAAAAAATTTATAGTGATTTTCTTCATTTATAACGAGGCTTTGCATAATACTTTTATTAATATGAAATTTTAGCAAGTTTTCATGTATTAATACGAGCAACTTAAATTTAAGTAAAATTTATAAATAAAAATAACTTACAGAAAATAGTAGATGTTATTATTATTAATATAATATTATTATATCTTATTAGATGAAATTATTTGAAAATATGAGAATTTTCATGTTAAGAACAGAGTTATGAAAATTTATTATTTGAATTAAGATTAATATGTTTACAAAATTTAAAAGACAACAAATAACATTAAGATTAAGCAAGACTATAATATTACTAAAATTTAGTTTATTTTAAAATAAAAAAATAATTCTTCGACAAATATAGTATATGATGTTAAGATTTAAATATTAAAATTTAAACCATAATTAAATTGGAAATCAAATTTAAATTGATTAAAATTAAGTAATAGATTTAAACAGAGTAAAAATCATAAAATAAAGAAAATTAGATATTAAATATAAGAAAATTTAAATGACTTAATATTATCTATAAAGCATTTTTATTTAGCCATAAAAACTCTTAACAACGAAAACTTAAATTTATAATATAAGAATGGTTAAGCAAATAAAAATACATATTTAATATTAAAAAATTACATGAATTGACGAGAAACGAAAATTTTCTTAAAAATAAGCTCGTGAAAAAATTGTAGATTCATTTTACTCTTATACTATAAACATGATTCCCTACCTTCGAATGAAAATATTTTAAAACTATTAGCAAAATTTTTTTTAAAACTTATATTTTTCTTTATTAAGTTACGCTTCTATTACATTAAGTATCCGATTAATTTTTTTGTTTTTCTGTAAAATATTATTTAAATTAAACTATTTTAAAATTTTCCATGCTATAGTAAGTTAAATATAATTTATCAGGTAAATTATATTTTAAGATTATTGCGAATCTATTCAATCTCAATTAGATTTAATATATTTGAGTTTTCATAGATTCTTTCAAAATATTAAACACACCAATTTCAAATTAATCGTGGAAATGCAGATAAAGTTCCCAAGTTGCATGCTTTTTGTGCGTGGGTGGAAATATATTTGCGTTTTCATAATTGTGTCAAATATATTTTGATTATTAAGTGAACGTATTTAATAAATTTGAATCAAAATTGATTATAAATTTAATTTATATTTTAAAAAATAAAAAATTATGAGAAATATTTTTAATTTAAAAGACACAAGATTATTTGTTATTCATTAATTCGGAGCTTCAGCGTGAGTTATAAACGTGAAAGAAACACATGCCATTATCGTTGACCGCCAAATGCTCATCACATCACCGTTGCCAGAAATTTTAAGCTAAATAACAAATCACGTCCTATTGTGTTCCCTGCGGTACTAATCTGACCCACTTCCCTTCAATATCACCTAAACAAAATTTTAAATTTAAATTATAATTTTTTTTTAATAATAGACTCACTTATAAAAAAATTAAAAAATATAAATATTTAAATTGCTCTTTTGAAAATAAAAAAATAGATATTCTAATTAATCTGAATTAAACGTGTTAATAATTGATTGATAATGGATTAAGATAAGTCGATCCTTTTACAATGTCTAAAATTGAATATACCAAATATTTGGCTATTTTACTAATTTATGAATCAAGCCGACAGACGTTGAGACGTTTTTATAATGCACGTGGCACAATAAAGTTCACTGAGTGTATATTTTACATAATTTATAATTAATATTTGAACCACGTTAACTGACTGAACTTCAATTTTTATTAAATCACATTAGCTAAATAAACTAAAATAAATAATATTTATAGAAAATAAAATTAAAAAATCCTAAATGTATATTTAGTAATTTCATTTCCCTTAAACGGTTTAAAGAGTCTATGGGGTAAATATTTTTGCTGAGTTGCCCTTTTCCAACTCAGATAAGAATAATTGATGGCACGCATCCGACAATACGAATTTGAGAGGACTTAGTACATATTCCTCAATAGAAAAACGTGTACGCGAGGATTTTTCAAAATAAATAATTGAAAAAATTATATGTCTATTTTTAAATTTAATTATATTTTAAAACATCAATATTATAATTATTAATATGAAATAATATATCATACTTAAAAAATTAAAATTAAAATTAATGTAGAAAAAAGTATTTTATATGAAATTCATTTTTTTTTTTACTGAATACTTCTAAAAAAGTTTGTTTAAAATACTTATAAAAATGTTGAAGAAAATATTCATAATTTATATACGGAGATTAATTTATTTAAAATTAAGAACTTTTGTTCTTTATAAAAGATATTAGATTTTAAAATTTTTTTTTTATAAAAAATATCAAAATTAATTTCTAACCTGTTAAATGAGTAAAAATTTAGTCCTCATCCTTAAATTTACAAATTAAATTAAAATAATATTTGTAATTACTATTACTCGCTATATTTGTTTCGAACTAAATGTTAATAAAAAAAGATTTAAGACTTATTCCAAATGCATTACTTTTTATAAGATAAAAAATATTTAATTTGCTCTGGTCGTTAACAACAACTTCAAATTTAATAGCCCAAAAATATTTATTTTTAAAACATTATTCTAGCCATTCTCATATTTATTAGACAACAATTTAATTTTCATTATCATATATCCAAATTGTCATATTCGTATATATTACCATAATTTTTTAACTAATGTATAATGTTTTAATAATATTTTTAACAAATAAAAAAATAAAATTATTATAAAATAAATTGTTTAAGAAATTAAATAAAATATCAATTTTAAAACAAAATTATTAATCTAATATCAAATAAAAATTCAAAATAATAAATATAAATTTACAATAAAATAAATTTTATAAAATTATAATTATATATATATGTGTATATTATAATGTTTGTATCTGTATTCATGTATAAAAGTTTATAAATATTAATTTTATTCATTATAGTTCTTGTAAATATATAGTTAACATAAAATTAGATACTAAACTTTTGAATTAAATGATTAAACATTATTTTAACTTGATTTATAATTTTAAATAAATTTTTTAATATAATAATGATTCTTTTTTAATAAAAATACATTATTTTAAATACTTAAAATAAATTTAAAAATGAATTATTAAACCGTAAATATATAATAATTTTTATTAAAAATTATAAAATATTACAGATGGACATTGAGAAAATAGAATATTATAATTTTTTATAAAAAAATGCTTATATT